GGGGGTCCAATTTTGCATGAACACACACGGAGAGTTGGCGCAGAGTTCCAGGGTCAGTTTACCAGAGAGACGTAGCTGCGAGGGTTGCAACAGGCTGGCGTGAGGCAGGGTCTACTCAGAGGAAAGACAGGCAGAGCAAAAAGGGGTGCAGACTGGAGCGAGGCAGAAACAAGCTGGATTAAGGCAGGTAAGGACCGGAGCAGGGCTTGAACAAGGCAGGAACAAATGGGAGCAAGAGATAGAAATGCAGGCCAGAAAACGAGGAGTCACCAGGATGACTTGCATTGCTGCGGCAAGAAGCAGCTGTGCAGGGAAGCCTTTGATGCTGGTCTTTGGGGTCTCCAGCCGCACTGCGCCATTGCTCCATGGGGGTGTCCTGCAAGTGCCCACAAAGCCGTCCTGGTTCTGCGAGCACTTGCAGGGTCACCCAGGCCCTGATCCTGACACTAAGCCCTTGCGGTAGTGAGGCCACAACATAAGAACAGTTCTGCTGGATCAGGTCAAGTCCAGCACTCATTTCTCACAGGGGCCCACCAGCTCCCCACAAGTGGCCCACAAGCAATATGGGAGTGCAAGAACCCTCCCAGCTATGTTCCCCAGCAGCTGGTGTTCCTAGAAATGATGCCTCTGATCCTGGAGTAATGCATGTTCATCTAAAATCCCCTTGTAGTGCTCCAAAATTAGTGATCGAGCCATCGCAGGGCAAACAGAATATTCCTCAGTCCGAAGACTTAGTCCTCTTTCTTGGCTGCAAACCCAAAACCTGTGGCTGAGTTCCTCTTGCTCATTGTCCTCATTCATCACCAGGCATTTGGTTGTGCTTGCAAAGACCTTCTGTGAGGGTCCAAGGAAGGTATGGAAGGAGGAACGGCTCCAACACTGGTCATGGCAACCCAGGAGGTGCTGTCATACCCCTATCTTGCTCATGGGCTTTTTGTGGGCCTAACTGGTCATTCTGGAAACAGCTTGCTGGACCAGAGAGCCCTTTGTTGTGGGCTAGCTAGGCCTTTGGTTGGATCTTATAGGGCTTTTCTTATGTTCTTGAAGGTAATCGCTGCTGGGTCAGCAACCCAAACTTTCTCAGGATCAGATGTAGCTCCTGATGAAGAACTGGACACAGGATTCCTGATGAGGTCTGACTAGTGAGGAGTATAGGGGAATTACTACTTCTCGTGGTTTGGAAGTAATACTTTTGACAGCTGTATCACATTGTTGGTTCACATTTAGTCTATAGTCCACAATTACTCTGGGATCTTTTTTTTTTTTTCAGCTCTGTTGAGCCTTGTATTCCCCATCTTGTATTGATGCCTTTGGTTTCTTTTTCCTGGGTGGAGGACTTGGCACTTGTCCCTACTGAATCTCATTCTGTTGCTTTGAGCTCAGTGCTCAAGTTTATCAAGATCGTCCTGGATCTTTATTCTGCCATCTAGGGTGTTTGCTATTCCACCCAGTTTTGCATCATCTGCAAATGTGATTATCTTTCCTTATACTTCCTCATCTAAATCATTAATAAAGATGTTGAAGAGTACTGGGCCCAGGAATGAATCCTGTGGCACCCAACTGGTTACCTCCATCGAATTTTGTTCCAACCTTACCACAACTTGAAACAGATCAGCAGCGCAATCTTATCCCTCTGGGCTTGCCTGTGAGTAAGCCCTATTCTGTAGTGTGCATCAAATGTTTATCACCTGACAAGCATAGTTTCTCCCAGTTTTCTGTATTTGAACAAGTATCTAAGTAAGGGTATGCCGGTGCCACCAGATCGGGAGCGGGACCAAGGAGGGGAGAGATGCCTCGGTGGGAGCCACGCTACACTGATTTCAGTATTTTGTTCTTTTGTTGGTGTTTTTTGTTGCTTGGTTTCTGGTTGTATTGGAGAATTTTAATTTTTTTGGCATTGTGTTTGAAAATGAATACACAGAACACTGTATTATGTGTATAATTATTTTTCTTTCTCTCTCAGTGGTCCCTGAGGTAGTTTACCTGTTTTCACTGATCCCTAGCTGTGGAAAGATTGAAAACCACTGGGATGGGAGAAAATGAGGAAAAAATAATGGGTAAAAATATATAAACAAGACGCTATGAGAGATCTGCAGAAAGGGCATGATACAATAGTTCAACAAATATCAGTGATTACAGAATATTGACATGACATTTAGTAAGGGACATGAATTACAGGTCTTGATCATGAGTTTGAACATGTAAACAAGAGTGATTGCAATACTGCTAGAAAAACTGGTCCGGTAGCTTGCCATTGTTAGCAGAAGAATGGTTGCATTATCATTTTTACTGAGTGCCTGAATTGAGAGCACTGTGTTTCCCCCGTTCCACGGAGGATTAACTTTGCCACAATAATAGCACTTGCCTGCATATTGGAGGAGATTAGCTTGATGCCGTATATCAAAAACCCAAGGCTTGATGAAACACGTTCAGATATAGATGAGAGGGACAAGATTCCCTTCATGATTGGGCATTAGGGCTGGATTGGACAGCTTCTGGGCTTTTCTGGGCATGGGAGCTGGACATTGTACTTATGACCAGACAGCCTCCAAAGGACCCTTCTGCTCTTTTTCCTATACGATTTATTTGGATTTCCCCAACAATTCCCACTCCTGGACAGATCCCTCACACATCCCTACGTTCATCCACTTCATTCTTTTTCTAAAACAGGCTCGCTGCACACTCAGCTTGGCACAAGTGGAGGCTGAAGCCCGACGCCAGTTGGATTATACATGGCACTCTGACCAAACCCAAGGCTTCCATGCTCCTTGGAGAATGTGCTGGGCCTTGCGGGGTGAGCACAGAGATCTTCCCCGTATTAAACGCCCCATATTGTCAACAACACTGGAATGCGCTGGAGCATTTTGCATCATTGTGGTGAGCCAGGATCAGTTTCACAGGTGGGGAACCCTGCAAAATTCCACGGGATTTGAGAGATCCCTGTTGTCTCAAGGAGAGAAGAAAAATCTTAGCAAGCAGAGCTTCAGATTTGCGTCAGCAGCCACACAGACAAGGTATTCCCATCCTAGGAGCAGTTGCACTGGAGGGCTTCTTTCATCCCTGGCATTCCTTTTCCTAGAAGAGTCTCTGTTCTATTGGTAACATCTCAAATTTTAACCAGATGTTTGAGCTGGATGAGGAGAGATGGAACTTCTCCTGGTTAAGGTCTTGGGACTACTGATTACACTTCCTTCCCTTTGCTCTACCTCCTGGCTCCATCTCCTAGGTAACTGCGGCTAGTTTTCCAAGCCTCTACCATACCTTTCTAAACATCGATCTGGTGCATCTGTAGATGTCAGACTTGACACTTTCTGCCTTCCTTCCTCCGTCCACGCTGCCCTGAGGTTCTTCCACATGTGGGCCAGGCTGCCAGCAAGTCAGCCCTTTGGCTGCGGAATCACGCCAGGCTCATCTGTGACTTCAGCTAATCAGAACAGAAGGGTTTGTTCATCACCTTCGTGCCCACAAACAGTAAACAGTGAAATCACAAAAACTAAAACATTCTGGGTTTTAAAAAATATATATCTACAAATACATCAATTCAAGCAATCCTTCAAAAAATCAATCCTTTGTAAACTCAGACAAGACAAAAGTAGTAAAGACATCAATATTATCTTCTGATGTTACCTGAAACAAAACGATGAACTGCTTCAAAGCTATTCATGGCTATTAACCTTGCTGGCTATGCGCTCCCTCCTTCCCCAGCGGTGGCCAGCCTGCACACACCAGCAGCTGGGGGACTTGGGCAAGCGGCGGTCTTGCACCCATCCTGCTCAAGGGGTCCCGTGGAAAGCTGGGTTGCCACTGTGAGAAGTGAGTGCTGGCCTGGATGCACCTTTGGTTAGACTCTTGGCCTGATCCAGCATGACTTTTCCCATGTTCTTGTGTGTGCAAGCATTCTCTCCAAATGTGTTAAGAAGGAAATTCAAATAAAACAATTTACATGTGGAATTATAACCATGTAATAAAAACATCAAGATTTTCATATCAAGATGTTTCAAGCAGTAAAAAGTATATGCTAGAGGGGTAGGTGAAGAAGGGGGGCATTTGCTGATATATGGTAGTGTTGTGACCCAGTTAAGGTTCATTGGTAAAGAGATAATCTGTGGTGCAGAATCAGAAATTACTGTTTCTCGGTTGCTCAGTGTAACGTGAGAACTGAGAATTCTGGGCTACTAAAAAGGGGAAAAAACCCAAAACTTTGACATGCCAACCAGGTCTCTGCCAACTGATCAATAAGACAAGAAAATATGAACTCCATAATTATGAAGTTATGAACTCTGTAACTATGTTGGAAGAAAATTGGGCTCTTTTAATTAGCTATAGGATGTGGCACAGACCAGGTGACTGTTCCAACACCACCCTACTAGTTTGCTTGAGGAAAACAATGGGGAGGACTGTTGACCCACCCCCAGAGCCATCTCACAGGCGGATCACAGGCAACAGGATGCCAGGCTACATTTGTTCTTCTGCTGTGATTGATGTATGGGGACCTTGTGAATGGAAGCCTTCCAGAATGGCTGTTTCTTCCCCCTTGTAAACTCGAGACTGTGGCTTCCTTTATGGAACTGAGCCATCTCCTATTGGTCTTCCCCTCGTCCTCCTGCCTTTGGCTTTCTCTGGCACAACTGTCTTCTCCGGGGAGTTTGGCCTTCCCATGGTCTTCCAGAAGTACAACAGCCTCGGCTTCACCGTTTTTGCTACCAACTTGGCTATCTAGGCTTTTGGAGTAAACATCCTTCCAACACTTGAAAGATCACGATTAAACATGTTGCAAACAACAGAATGTATGCCTGGCCAGATTCCAGCATTACTTAGATCTAAAGTCAGAAAACCAGTTGCGTAATTGTTTTGCATTACTGGAGTATGTGAGCAAATGCTAATTAAAAAAAACGTAGAACCAAGTCCCAATTTGTCTGAAGATGTTGTTGTAGAAAGACGGATTCCACTGAACGAGACATACTACAAAGAATCAAAGAGGCGCAAGAAAGAGGAGAACGATGGTGATCCGTGTGCTTTTGATTGGCCTACTGGGGATTCTCTGGATTGTGCACCTCCTGAAACAATTTGGGGTACGCAGGCAGCGCCCGCCTGGGCCTTCTGTGCTGACTGTCCTTGGAGCCATTTTGTTGAATGGGTTTCAGTTTCGTGAAGATACTTTCATTAAGGTATTCCTTCTATATCATAAAATAGTATCTCATTGATGCAGTCTTATTCATGTTTATTAGGCCCCACTGAGTTCTATGGGACCTACTTTAAGGTAAGTACACAGAGGATTGGTGCTTTAGCAGTGTGATGGCTTGTTAGTGAGTGTTGCACTAGTAAAATATAACTACGCTGACATAAATTTGATATGCAAAAATACTACAGTGAAGATTAATAATAAAATGTAAATATTATTAATAACAAAGGTAGATTTGTATCCTGCATTTTTCTCCATAGGTTCTTGAAGTAGTAAACAACCTATTAAAATACAAGAAATGCAAGAATACATGTGAAACAGAGGAGACTTTAGTGTTAATATTTCACAGAATGATTTAAAATACTTTTTGCCATCTAATAATTAAAGAATAACTGATAATTTAAAGATATTATGCTATGTGTTCTTTAATGACTTAAATCATAGAATCATAGACTAATAGCTTTGGAAGGGGCCTATAAGGCCATCAAGCCCTACCCCCTGCTCAATGCAGGACTCCAAGTTCAAGCATCCACGACAGATGGGCTGTCCAGTTTAATGACTGAGATGGGCTCCTTTACACAATTCTCCCCTGCAAAGGTTTTTGTTTCTCTGCCCTTCTATACATTCCATTGTACAACTACTATCTTGTCCTGTAGTATAACAGAATTGTGCATATACATGAGGGTTTCATCCTGCCATTCACAGATAATACCACACTTGTCTTGAGCTGAAAAAAGATATGGAAATAGTTGCAGAGGATGGAAGAAGTCCTGGAAGGGAGGATGCCAGGCAGAGTAAAGCCCCTGCAAAGTCCTGTAATGGAGGGATCATGCGCCCCATGGACGTGCTGCATGCGGGAAGGCTCAGAAGCAGCTTTGGGGGTGGCTCTCATTTTGCAGTATAAAAAACCTTCTAAAGAAATTCAAGGTGATGCGTATCTCCAAAACAACCCAATGGAGAAGACGTGTGCTCAGGTGCCACAGGATGCCGACTGATTATAAGGAGGGAGGAAAACCAAGTGGGAGGGTCCATTTGCATCAAATCACAGAGAAACGCTTGCTTGGAGCTAACCGTATTTACTGTCTCCTGCAAAATGGAGGTAGCAAAGAACGGCATCCTATGCAGGGCAGGGAATGTGGAGTCCAGCATTTCCTCCATGTGTCCATTGTGTCCCAGAACTTTGAGATGGCTGATTTCCTCCATCTGCATACTCTTCCTTTTCCTTCTGAGAACAAGAGGTTGAGGCCTCCACCAGGGTTTTCCAGAAGATGTTGGTGTCTTGGTCTTCCACACGCTACCCCCTGGAGTACCTCCCAGTGCCAGCTCCAAAGTGGTCTGCATCTGCAACCCAGTCTTAGAGTGTTTTCCCAAGGCCCCAGTGGGAAGGACCTGTATTATGGCCATTCAGACAGTGTCAGGAGGCGCTAGGGTTGTGCCTTAACTAGCTAATAGAAACCAAATTCTTTTTATTAATGGAATGATAGCAGCACAGACATAGTAAAATAACAGGGTTAGTGATCTGTGCTATAGAGGATATTGTGTCATTAGAAGCAGATTGAGAAATCTTTAGTAGTCAATACTAATTCTACTAATTTGGTGATCAGTAAGGTATCTTGCTGCAGATATTATGACAACCCCCTCTAGCATTTCACAGATTAAGTGGGAACCCTTCTAGGGTTGGCAGAGCCCAGAGGTTCATCATGTTGTCCGGAGGGCAACAGTAGGGGCAAAATAAATTTGGATGTGCCATAAGGGGTTTCGGCTTCCCCATACGGTTAAGAGATAGTCAATAGACAGGTCCAAGCTATGTGAGAGACTGCTTGGTTCTCAAGTTCCTTTGGAGACGCCCTTCTTTGAAGCTTGCTACCTTGAGTGTTGTGTTGGGTGGAGACCCACCTTCAGTTTTGCCTGGGTTGTGAGAATTTGTTGGCTGGATTTGTTCCCTCTCTTCTGTCCTTCTGCTAATATGCAAAGGCAGTTTTAGACCATACACAAGTCTGTTGGGTTGGGTGTTACACACTCACTCACTGTACCTACATTAAGATTACATTTTAATAGGATATTTATTGCTCCAGTCAGTTCTGATGGTACCTGCAAGCTGCTTTGGGTGCCGTTTTGGTAGAAAGGTTTGTGTAAACCAAATTAATACATGCCAAATTATTATGCAGATGTTCCAGAGGGTTTTGTTTTAGCTGCTGCTGTGTTAAGAATTAGGGTTGGAGAGGATTAGGAAAGGGAGCTTCAGGGCAACTGCTTCTTGTGCTCTTTTTAACAAGCTAAGAGCCATGAGAACTTAATGTACCTTCAAGAAACTATTATTACTTGGGAAAGTACACCATGTTACCTGTTGGACTGAGATATTCTTCCAATAGAATCCATATGATAAACAATGTTCAAAAGTACATCTGATTTTATCTGAATTTATATAGCTTTGAGGGGATATTTTATAGTTTACAAAGTATAAAGAGAGCAGAATGAAGAAAATTTTCTGAATAAACAAGTCACCTTCTGATAGGAGCCCCTAGATTATTAATTCAGAAAGGGTAGAGCTGTACCCAGGCCTCAAAATTTAATTTACAGAGCCTAGAATTCTAAATTTAAGTTTTGAAGCCTAAAGGTGCTCCCAGGTGGCCCTAAAAAGGAATTTAGGAAGCATAAGAAGTGCCTTATATGAAATCAGAGCACAGAGGCAACCCTAACCAGAGATAGCCATCTTTCTTATAACTCCAGGGGTTTTTCTAGCCTTACCTGGAGATGCCACAGTCAGAAGTTGCCACCTTCTCCGGGCAAAGGCTCTGCCCTATCCCCGGGTCACAGCCTATTTCTCATTTAGTCGAGAGCATAATCCAAGCCCTAAAAATTAATGTGCCAAACCGAGAGCCACCCCTGAGTTATAAGAAAGAAACATTCCTTCCGACCTACTGAACATCTGGAAGGGCTTGAATGGGTTGCTGGGCTTGTGGGCTGTCCTTGCAACACTCTCACATGGGCTGGATTCTGGAATGAAGCGGAAGGTACTCAGAGAGAGTTCAGGGAAGAGAACTGCCTGCTAGTACAAGACTCGCCTGCCTTCCAGGAGCATTCCCTGAAATGCTGCTGGAGACGCTCGGACGGATCACCCCCAGAGCAAACCGGAACCTCTCAGCCTGGCAACCAACAGCCTCCTGGGGCTTCTAAGCAGGCCGGTGGGGTAGCCGGCTGCTCCTGGGGGGCTGCCCTTGCAGGGGTGTCCCCAAGGAGGCGATGTGAAAGGTGGCCTGCCCCTTTGGGAACCCCACTGGTAAAAGCGCCCCTCTGTCCTCCCTGTGTGCCTCGCTGGCCAGTTTCATCTCACTGCCAGTGGCGCTTAGGGCCTACTGGCCACTGGGCAAGCAGAACTGCCTCGGTTCAGTCTCGCCACCCCCAGTAGCCGGTTCCTTATGGGTCAGCCTATCAGCAGTGGGTCCTGACCCACCCCAGCTCCCAGCCATTCCCACCACATTGCTGCCTTGCGCTGCTCTCTGATTCAAGGGAGGGACGAGTGGCCCCCTCCCCCCGCAAAGCCTGGCTTCGAGGAAGAACGATGCCCCCTTTATGGTCTCTCTTTGGTCAAATTGGCAGCTAGGAAGGCCATATGGAAACATTTACTCCCTGTGGCTGGGAACGTATTTCGTCGTGGTCCTGTCGGGGTTCCAAGCCGTGAAGGAAGGACTGATAGACCACGCTGAGGAACTGTCTGAGCGACCGCTGACTCCCCTCCTCAAAGTCATAGGAAAAGAAAAGGGTAAGTTGAGACAAGGAAGAGCCCGTGCTGGTCATTTAACCGGAGAAATATCCGAGAAAATATCTCTCTGTGAAAGTTGCAGGTGAACTCTGGAAAAAGCCACTGCACCTGACTGGACAGCTATTTCATAGAAACACAGAAACAGAGCGAGTCAGAAGGGTCCTCCTGGGCCATCTAGTCTGACCCCTGGCTCCAATTGCTCTGCTCATGACATGCCTGCCATGTGCATGTCTAGTGCCTCTTTGAACACCCTCACCGGTGGGGCATCAACCACCTCGCATGGAAGCCCATCCAACACCCTCAGGTTCCTAACTGTCAGGAAGTACCTCCTGGCATCCAGTTTGAACCTGGGTTCCCTGAGCTTTGCTCCGTTGGAGCGCGTCCTGCCCTCCTCTGCAGGGGAGGACAGGCCTCTGCTCACCTCCATGTGACACCCCCTCACATGCCTATAAGTTGCCAACAGATCCCCTCATACGGCTTTCCCTACAATCAGGCCACCATCTTTGTAACCGTACGCTGCACTGATTCCAACCTTGCTATATCCCTCCTGTAATGAGAGGGCCAGAAATGAACACAATTCTCCAGTTGTGGGTGCACCAGAGTCCTATAGAGTGGTAGCAGTACCTCTCTTGATCTAGAAGCCACGCTTCTGGCTATGCATCCAAGCGGGGTGTTTGTCCTCTTGGCCACTGCGTCACACTGCTGACTGATGTTCAGCCTGCAGTCGACCAGCACCCCGAGGTCCCTTTCTCAAGTGCTGCTCTCCAGCCACTTGTCCCCTAACCTGGTCTTGTGACACAGATTCCTTAGCAATCAGGACTGCCATGTGCTCTCCTACAAAGAGCAACCCCAGACCCAGCAGACAGCAAAGGTATTGTGCTAAAGTCTTTCAAAGGTACATCTTACTGCTCCGAAGGGCACATGGGGGGTGGTCATGTCTGAGAAGCTGGAAGAAAGAAGGCCTTTGGGTGGACTCTCACAAAGGAGGGTAAGAACAGCTGCGCTGGGTAGATACAATGGGCAGAGCTTTATGGCCCAAGGGCAGCTAAGCACTACTGCACCACACACTGCTCAAGCAGTAAATGTGGAAGGAGGAAGGACAGGGGCAGGCTGGCCAGTCTGTTCCATGCCATCAAGGCATCTCCAGTTTATGAACGCCCTCCAGAATCTCCTGTCCTTCACAGCCCCGCTCAGCTCCTGTAAATTCAAGGCTGTGGCTTCCCATAAGGAATGGATCCATCTTGTAGCTGGTCTTCCTCTTCTTTTTCTGCCTTCCACTTTCCCAAGCACGATTTGCTGTTTTTCTCCAGCCTCAAGGTGCTTACTCAGAATAAGATGCTGTGGGAACGAGCCGTGATTGTTTTAGTGCTCAGAGATGGATTTTGGAAGCAGCCATTGAAGTTGTGATACCCAAGTTGTTCTGTTGCAGATACATGCTGTGGGAGGCGGGGGCAGAATCATTAACTTAATAAGGTACTAGAGGAAAACCAGCTGTCCATCAGCACCGCAGTTCTTAAGTTCTGAAAAGCTGGGTAGCTCTTTGAAGCAATGACATAGTCTGTGGTTCTAATATGATGGCAACCTTTAAAAAAATAAATGTTGTGTGTAACCTTTCCCCATTGTTTCTTGGTGGCCTCAGGTATTGTATTTTCAAATGGTCACACCTGGAAGCAGCAGAGACGGTTTGGCGTGGTGACGATGCGCAAGCTGGGACTGGGCAGGAAAGGCATGGAGCGCCAAATCGAAGAGGAGGCCCGGCAGCTGGTGAACGATTTTGCAAGTACTGAAGGTACGCAATGCAAGGAAATCATGCTAGCATGTGTCGAACCTGCACAAATATTCATTTGCAGTATATGCAAATTGCTGGAGATCTCAACAGTCTACATGGGCCAGTGTGAAATCCCACACAGAGTATTAATGGGAGAGCCTGGATTGAGAGCAGTGTCTCTTCATTGCAGGTCAGCCATTTGACCCTTCATCATTTCTCACCAGTTCAGTCTCCAATGTAATTTGTGCTGTGACGTTTGGATACCGTTTTTCTCCTGAAGACAAATTCTTCAAGGAACTGATGAAATCTGTTGAGGTTGGCTTAAGACTTGGATTCACCATCTTTCATTTTGTGAGTAGCCCTTTTCTTTCCTATAGGATCAGAAAGGTCTTTGGAGGAACTACCAGTGCAATCCTTATGTAACCCTCCTACCAGGAATGTATACATACAATTACCATCTAGCTTCCGTTTCAGCTTTACGAAAACCATTAGCATACAGCTCAGGGTTGCGCTTAGTCAGCAGAGACCAGAGATTCACCCTTAGACTTATCAGGGCCCAAGCCTATGGTTTCTCAACATCATCTGGGATCCCAGTGTTCATTGGAGAACAGCCTTCACAACTGGGCCCGAGAGTGGTGGGGAAGGGTTGTGCTGTGGGACTGTGATGGGAAGGGGCTGGAGCTGCAGTCCTACAGTGATTCCAGCCAGGCCCCAGCCTCCTTTCCCCCCACTGCTAAACCTCGCAAGAAACCTTGCATCTTTGTTGCCACTCCTTGTGGCTTGCACTGGAGACTCATAAGTCTTTGAATTCAGAAGTTTACAACAGCTGCTGCAGAGGGTATAAGACTGCCTCCCTACTGAATCACAACCTAGTTTTCACAATTATTCTGAAGGTAAAAGGAGTGGGCATTTACACCACTCTGAACTCTATGGGAGAAAGGTGGGATAAAATGTAACTGTAATTTTAGGTAATTGACCTAAAATCGAATCCTTGAATTTCAACAACTTTTTTTCTCCTTCCTTCCTTCCTTCCTTCCTTCCTTCCTTCCTTCCTTCCTTCCTTCTCAATTCTACTTTGCTCTAAATTATTGAAAGGCTCTCAAGAAAGAACAGGCACAAATTAGTAAGATAATGCATCAAAATAAATATAATCACCCCAAACACCCAGCAAAAACATACATACAACAGAACATATCATTGTTGTCTTTTGCTGTCAAGTCATCTCCAACTTAATGCTGAGCCTACATATGAGTTGTCCTCTCCATGACAGCCCTGCTCAGCTCTTCCAAGTTCTAGGCTGTGGCTTCCCTGATGAAGTCAATCCATCTCTTATTTGGTCTTCCTTTTCTTCTTCTGGCTTTGACTTTCCCTGGCAAGTTGGTCTTCTCCAGGGAGTCCAGCCTTCTCATGATGTTTCCAAAGTATGACAGCATCCATTTTGTCATAGACTAGTTAACCCAAATTCAGAGCAGGGCTGAGCAGAATTTACCAACCAAAAAAACCTGCTGAAGCAAGTCCTCTTAATATCCTGTGTAATACAGGAAGAGAAGCCTGGCTGAATTAGAGGGATGGGTGTTACCTGTCCTGCCGCTGCCAACACCACCTCCAGACTTGGGACAAATGGTTGCATTTCCCCAACCAACCTCCCCTCCCCATTTCCCATCAAAAACACTTAAAAGGGCCCCAGAGTTTTGACAGCCAGCTGCCAATTGTCCTTTTCCATAGGGAAGATGGGGGATGCTGTTTTTCCTGAGCATCCTGTCAAGCTGAAAAGCTTTCAAAATAATAGAAAAGAGGAGGATCTTGCCAGGATGTGTGTGTGAAACATGCCATCCTTTTGTTGTTGCTGCTATCGAACAAACTGCCTTCATGCTGTTTTTGCCTTTTGACAGCTGTCAAGAGAAACCAAAGAGTGAAATATCCAACCCAGAGTCTCTTTAGGGCAATGTCCAGGACTGGTACCTGTTACAGTTATGAAGCTGCAGCTAAACTAAAAACATGAATCTGTTTGTGAATTTTTTAGCCAAATCACTGTACAGGTACTGACAGCTGTCAAAAGGATGCTCATAAAAGATAAAAGATTGTACCAACTATCAAGCTTTTGGAATGTCAGAAAAAGTACAAAAAGCTGTGGTGAGCCAAAACCAGCTCATGATAGTGGTGGTGGTAGTGAGGAAGTTACTCACTACCCAGGAGTTAGTCCTGCCCTGGGGTACTCATGGGAGGGCTGAGGGATCAAGGGAGAGCCTGGACAACCCATGGTGGGGCTGAATGTCTGTCATGCTCACCATGGGTTGTTTGGCCAACAACCATCCCACCAGGCTCACTGTGGATGCTTGGCACTTAATAAGGAGCCATGCAGGGGATTTACCACAATGGGCTTTCAATACAAGGCCATCGAACTGATGTTTTCAGGAAGGAAGTCTGAGGGACTAAGGCAAATAGAAGTGACAAAACATCAAGTTGCCAACTTTGTTCACTCACTGGGTCCAGATATCCATTCTAGAGTTCTTGAAGAGCTCAAGTATGAAATTTCTGAACTTCTCACAAAAATAAGCAGCACATCCCTAAGAACAGCCTCTGTAGCAGAAGACTGCAGAATGGCCACTGAAAATGCCTATTTTTAAGCAGCAACCCAGGGGTATCTGGGGAATTACAGGCCATTCAGCCTAAAGCTTGTCCTGGGTAAATTGGTTGAAAGCTTTATTAAAGATATAATAAGTGAGCATACAGAAGGAAAAGCCCTGAAGAAAAAGAATCAGCGTGGCTTCCACAAAGGGAAGCCTGTCTCACTAACCTCTTCGAGTTCCTTAGGAGTGCCAAATAAGCATGTCGACAGGAATGATCCAGTAAACACTGTTTACTTGGATTTTCAAAAGGCTTTTGACAAAGTCCCTCACCAAAGACTGCTGAACAAACTTAGCAGCCATGGAATAAAAAAAGGGGCAGGGGGTTCTCTTAGAGATCAGTCATGGGATAAAGAACAGCGAGCAGAGTGTGGGAACAAGGGGCAACATCTCACAATGGAGGGGTGGGAAGGGTGGGGTCCCACAGGGCTCTGTCTTAGGAGGAATGCTTTTCAAACTGTTCATAAATGATCTGGAATTAGGAGTGAGCAGTGAAGTAGCCAAAATGTTGACAAATTATTTGGAGTGGTTGGCATGCCAGCGGCTTTCTCGCTTTTCAATTAATGGAGGAAAATAGGAAAGCACCTTGCCTTGGGCTTGGCCACTCTTGGGAAGGTAAGCATTGCCCTGTGGCTGCTTTGCTCTTCCTCCACGCCCAAAAAAGACACCCTCTTATTTCAAAAAGGGGTGTAGCATCATGCCCTGTCGTGGGCTGAAGCCTGGCAAGTTGGTGACATTGTCGCTGTCCTTATCTTCATCCATATATCATAGAAACATTGAAGCATAGAAACAGGGTGAGTCAGAAGGGGCCTCCTGGGCCATCTAGTCTGACCCTGTCTCCAGTTGGCTCTGCTCATGACATGCCTACCATGTGCATGTCTAGGCTTTTAAGATAATTTCCTGGAGGCCAGTGGGATTCAGAAGAAGCTGCCAAAACCAGCTTTTCTCCCAAGGAGAATCAACTGAATCTGCCAGCTCTTGAGACTAATCCCAAGGCTGATATAAAAGGGGTAATCCAGCTGTCACTGTGCTGCCCTGTGTGGCCCCCGGTGTCAGCAGGATGTTGCTTTTTCTTTCTCACAGGTGTATGAAATAATCCCGCAGATCATGGACCACCTTCCAGGGCCCCACAATAAGGTCTTTGCTGCCATAGACATGCTATTTTCACTTGCACAGAAGGAGATAAAGAGGCACAAGGAGCAACACTCTTTTCACGAGCCACAGGATTTCACGGATTTCTATTTACTTCAGATGGAAAGAGTAAGTATCCTTTTTTGTATGCAAACCCCATTTGTCCAAGGAATCTTTACATTCCCTGCAATGGATAATGGCATCTGCTGGGCCACTGGGATTTTTTTCTGGAATTCCATGAATATTTCCATCCAGACCCTGTTCATTCACATGAAGCTTTCTCTAACCCACACACACATGGTCTGCAAATGGGTTAATGTGGCCTGCTCCAGCCGCCATGCTGGACTCACCATCAGGGTTCATCAAGAAATGGTGAAAGCATCTTCAGCATCAGCAACATGAGACATGGAACCTTCGTTTGAGACACCCACATGGATTAAAGTGGAGCTCAGTGTATTTGCAAGGAATGACATATCACCTTAGGTAGCCTTTTCTGACCAAGCAGAACCTTGTTCCCCTGTTGCCCACGGTACTGACTGGCAGTGCAATGTTGGAAGCAGCAGTGACAAAACTGAAGCTGTCACTCTTTGGGTGCACTGGAGAAGGCAATCGTGCCAGGGGTGGTCAAAGGCAGGAGAGGAAGACTGACTGCGAGATGGATCCATTCCACAGAGGAAGCCACTGCCTGGAGTTCACAAGAGCCGTGGATGACATTTTTCAGTGCTTTGATTCATAGGGTTGCCATAAATCAGAGATACTTTGATGACACCTGTCAAAATGTTGGAGTAATTGTGGACAATAAAGGATCTTGGAGTAATTGTGGGCATTAGGCTAAACATGAGCCAACAATGCGATGCAGTCATCAAAAGGGCAAATGCTATTTTGGGATGCATTAACAGATGTATTACTTCCAAGTCATGAGAAGTAGTAGTTCTATACTTCTCACCAGTCAGACTCCACCTGGAATGCTGTGTCCAGTTCTGGGCACCAAGATTTAAGAAAGATGCAGGTAAATTGGAAAGGGTCCAGCGGAGGGCAACAAAAATGATCCAGGGTTTGGAAACACTGGCCTGTGAGGAGAGACTGAGAGAACTGGGCATGTTCAGCCTTGAGAAGGGAAGACTGAGGGGGGACATGATATCCCTCTGTAAGTACCTGAAAGGCTGTCACAAAGAGGAAGGTCAAGATCTCTTCTTGCTGATGCCAGAGTGTAAGACACGGAATAAACAATTCAAGTTGTGACAACCCAGATTCAGGCTAGATATCAGAAAAGCTTCCTCACGGTCAGAGCAATACTACAGTGGAACCAGGTGCTTAGAGAGGTGGTGGGCTCTCCCACACTGGAGACATTCAAGGAGAAACTGGACAGGCATCTGAGCGGGATGGTGTAACATGGTATCCGGCAACAGCAGGGGGTTGGACTCGATGGCCTTCATGGCCCCTTCCAACTGTACTATTCTATGATTCTAAGAACAACAAAAAGCAACATTATGGGCTTTAGTGCTGTGTTTGAAACACCAGATGTACAGGTGTTAGGTGGGGGGCTGGGAGAGGAGCTGGCAGAGACAGAGAAAGATGGCATGACTCTTGACCCCATAGCCAAGGAGAAGATTGATGTACAGGCAAAAGGAGTGTGCTCTTCTAAGCAGGCCCTTCTGAAGGGATCAGGCCCAGACATACTCAGAAGGAGGGTTTCTGGAAGTAGTAGCATGCTCAGAGATTCATTCTGTGGTGGTTGAGTTTATTGAGCATAATTCGGTGAAAAAAGAGCTTTTTGCAAAAGGATCATCTGTTACCTTGAAAGTGCGCATGGAGGACAACCCCAGCTCATGACGGTAGGGTCCTCTGAACATCTCCAAGAGAAGCTGAAGGCACAGCTGAATGGGCAACCCAATTCATGTGGAGCAGGGGCAGCTCTTTTAAGCCCGCAAAGATTTCTTTGATGCTCAGCTAGGATGTATAATTTGCTGCTAGGATGAGAGGAGAGGCAAAGGGGGCATGGAAGGCCAGCTTGTGGCTCCTTGTCAATGAAAGACCACCATCTCCATTTTCAACAGAGCAGCAAAGACCCCAGCTCTACCTATGACGAAGAGAATCTGGCCCAGTGTATTACCGACTTCTTTGTTGCTGGGACAGAGACAACAATGACTTCCCTGAAATGGGCGTTGCTCCTCCTGACAAAGCATCCCGATATCCAAGGTGAGCAAGAGCAGACCAATGTTTCATTTATTTATTAGATTTATCTACTGCCACATTAGCCAGAATGGGTCTTGGGGTGAGTTACAAAATTGCAACAGAGCAAAGATGAGTTGCATCTCAGAGTGATTTCATTTGGTTCATACTATGAAATGATGCATTAAAATAAGGACTTTTTAAAAGATCATATGCAGCAACTCTTTGTCCATCCAAGAAGTTTCCAGTAAGAAATGGAACTTCCTTGCAAGTCAGTGAATTTCTGATTGGGGTTTTAGAAGGCATGTGAGAGCCAGCGTGGAGTAGTGGACTGGCGACCTGGCCGACCCACGTTCTAGTCCCCACTCATCCGTAAAGCTCCCTGAGAGACGTGGGGCCAGGCACTCTAAGCCTCTCATCCTAGCCTACCTCTCAGGGTTGTCATTGTGAGGGTGAAATGAAGCTATGTAGGCCACCTTGGATTCCATATAAGAAGAAAAAGTGGCATATAAATGCAAAGTAATGATAGATGATCATGGTCATGATGGTGGTGGGGAGGTTGAATGAAGCTGAAAATTATGGAAAATTCTTTTTCACAAACATTTTTATATCTAGTTTCTGGAACATTAGAATTGAAGCGATGCAGAGAAAACAAAGTGAACACCCTTGTCCCCCTAAGCCCTATTTAGCTGTTGGGGAATTCCAGGTGTAGAAGGGATATTAGGATGGATGCCCTGTCCTTGGCCCCTACCTGCCCCCCTTGCCCCTATGCTGATGGGCAATGTCTGAAAATATCATTTCCAGCTCAGCTTTGCACACTGTATGTGACTGGATGGGGACCCACGTTATGTAACTTCAGCCAGTGAGGCATGGTTAGATCCTTCCTTCCGTCCTTCCGTCCTTCCTTCCTTCCCCTTTTTACTTTCCCCATTAACAGGGGATCTGAGAAATTTCAGGCTGGTTTGCTTAACCATCTGTTCCAAGAAAATTTACTGAAAGCAGTATTAAAGATAAGATAAGGATGAAAGGTAAAAATAAGCCCTGCTGGAAGAAGATTCAGCCTGGCTTCCTCAAAGTTAAGTCCTGTCTCACCAAGCTTTTAGAGGTTTTTGAGAATATTAATAACCACGGGGACAGGGGTGATGTTTACTCGGATTTCCAAAGGCTTTGGTCAAATTATCTTACCAAATAAACCTGCACAGACAGAGAACAAGAGAAGAGGTCCTCCCAGGTGTCAATAGCTGACTAAAGCACAGACAGCGGCAGGTAGGGCTAAATGAGGAAGTCTCCTGACAGAGGTGTCCTGGAGCCAGCGTTTCCCACCTTGTTCCTAAATGAGATGGAATTAGACGTGAACAGTGACGTGGGCAAATCTTCTGATGACACCAGTTCATGCTGGGTGGTTGAAACCAAAAGGGATTGTGAGGTGCTCTCACATGGGAATCTCTCCAAACTGGGCATCCAAATGGCCAATGCAGTTCAGTATCAACAAGTGTAGCTTATTTCATGCTGGGGCAAAAAAATTCCAGCTTCAAGGACAAGCTGATGGCATCTGAACTAGCAATGATGGCCTAAGACCTTCTGTGTACCAGGCATTCATTGTTCTTTTGCGATTCCTCATTCACAGAAGTTTGCAGAACCTTTTCACAGTGGTGCGTCCTGCAGAGGCTTGTTAGAGGGAGGAAAGCCTGGTGTTCCATTTGAAATCTTAACAGACTGGACCAAAACCTCACATATGGCTGCAAACCTGGCACAATATACCACGGCACCACCTTGTGGTTAGTTAACTGGCTATCGAGACACCCTCTGTAAGGGACACGCTTTGGAAATGGAAGCAAAGGATGCCTCCTGCAGCAGATTGAGCTCCTCCTGTGGAGATGTCCCAAGGAAAGGATCTTGGGGTTGTGAAAATGTCATTCCGCGTTTGCAGTTAAGGGGCAAGGGGAGACAAGGCCCATGTGAGATATGTTTGCCCTCCCGCCCCTTGAGATCGGCGGCAGAGGCACTTCTCCGAGAACCCTGTGAAAGATACTAGGAGGATGAGTCCCCGGAGGAGGGCCTTCTCTGTGGTGGCGCCCCACTTATGAAATGCGCTCCCCAGAGAGGTCCACCTGGCACCGTCGTTATTTGTTTTTCGGCACCAGGCCAAGACCTTTTTATTTAATATTTAATATTTTAATAATTGTTAATATTATTTATTGGTTTTAATTTTTTATAGCCAGGGTGAATCCAGATGTTATATGTACTATTTATACGATTGTTTATTTATTATGTTGGAAGCCGTCCCGAGGCTTATGCGAATGGGATGGCATACAAAAACTCCAAATAAATAAACAAACAAACAGACAAACAAACCGACATAATTAGAGAGGACCTGAAAATAAAACTACGGCTGCCATGCTGCCCTTACACAAATCTATTGTGCGACCACACTTGGAATGTCGTGTTTGGTGCTGGCCACCACTCCTGAGAAGGAGCATTATTTGAGTTGGAAGCAGTGCAGAGGAAGGCAACAGACCAAGGGGCTATGAAGAAAAAGCACGGTTGCGACATTGGGAACTGTTTGGCTTAGAAAAAGGGTGAGACACGACCGAGGTGAGCAAAATAATGTACTGGGCAAGTGGAGAGCACAGCATTGCCTCTGGCTCTTATAACAGAGTGAAGGAGAACGATTGACAGGTGATTCAGGAAAGACTGCTAATGTTCTTATAGCGAGCATAAAAGCACTTGGAAGCATTTCAGAAAGCTCCTATTGCTGGCTCTGCCCTGTGGAATTCCTTGGGCAGAAGACCAAAACAGGCACATACTTTGGATGATGTAATGCATAGAGCAAGATGCACAAAGCGTTTTGGTCAGGGCTGGAAAGCCTGACTCGCTGGCCTGCTGCTCGCCCCAGTCCGTCTTTCTCATGCCCGTTCTGCCCTTATAGTCCAGCTTTCCTCAGACGAGTTGCTGTAAGTGTCTCTTTCATATGATGTTGTTTCCCCTGGTATACAACTCAGTATGCATGTAACATAAGTTCCATGAGGCTGTTTGTTTACTTAGTGATCTATTAATGAACAATGCAAACACAATTTCACAAAATGAATCTCCCCTTATTCACAATTACATGACAGGCAACATGAGCAATTATAGCAGCAACACAATGCCACAAGCAGTCCACCCCAAGTCCCTGGCAACAGCACCAACCCCGAGAAGTTGCTTCTTGAATTGCAAAATTCAAGTGTCCTTTTGAATCCAAACTCAAACAAATGCAAAATGACCTCTTTGGATGTTATGAGTACCCACAGCACAGAAGAGTCAGCTCTTCAAAACTTTGGAATAAAATGCTAATTCAATTGCATATACTTCAATTCGCTATGTGGTTTCATCCCTCCAACACAAACATGTAGGGATCAATAGGGATGGCGTTCAATGTGGATAAGTGCAAGGTCTTGCCAAGGGTCAGACTATATGGCCCAGAAGGCCCCTACTGTCTTACTCTGTTTCTGTGTTTCTATGAATTATACCTAGATCAGGTTGGAAAGGGCCTTCTTGGAATGCGCTCCCTAGAGAGGTCTGCCTGGCACCGTCATTATATGTTTTTCGGTGCCAGGTCAAGACCTTTTTATCCGATCAATATTTCAATATATTTCAAAAATACTGTGTGTAGATTCATTTATATTTTATATGATGTTCAGCCAGCGTGGAATAGTTAACTTATTTATTTTGAAATAATGCTGTAAGCCATCCAGAGACGAAAGTAATGGACGGCATACAAATTTGATAAATTTAATAAATAGCCCCTTTCCCTTTCCAGCTCTTTCTGATTCAAATTTCTTACAGCCCCACTTTTCCTTAGTGCCACCCCTTTGGGCCGAACCAATATTAATTACATTTGCAAAACTGGAGGTCCTGTCCTCGGACCTGGAGGAATGGCTGCAGCACTGGGGCAGTCCTTCCACTGTTTCCCATCCTCCCCTTACTCTCTAACTTGCAAATGCAGTGCTGCTTCCTGCTCCTCTCCTCTATGCTTTGAAATAATAACTTGGAAGTCTTTTCAGGCCTTCCTGATTGCCTCTGCTGTCCTCTTGACTCAGGAAGCTACTAGGTGAAAATGCATGTCCACTCAGAAGTAAATCCCATTATCCTCAATGACCTTACTCATAAGAAAGTCACATTGACTTAAATGGTGCTTATTTGTGGGTGAATCAGCACATGAGAGGGCTGAGCTTGCTATTATCATCATTACTATTGTTGTTATTATTTCTACACTGCCCTCAGCAAAGCTCTGAAGCTTTCAGTGGAAGGGGAATGGAGCTGCTGGTTCTTCACCAGGTGGGAAGCTAGGAGTGAGCACCTTTCTTTACTCCGTGACTGTTTGAGGGAGAAGGTGCTGATTCCACCCCACCCTGCTTTTAAGCTCCTGCTCCTTTTCCTGCTTGCATGGACGCCATTTCCTCACTCACATCACTCCTCCACCTTTGGTGACTTTAGTGCCCAAAGCAAGAATGGCGCTGCCTTCATTTGCATGTATCCCAGCTGTGATAAATACAGTTTGCTGTTCGTGTGTATCCTCCTGGATGGTGCTGATTTGATTCCGTTTAGCTCCAGAACCAACTGAATCCAGGAGACCCTGGTGGTCAATCAAGTGAAGTCCAAACAGACGTCCATTGGGCTTCTCTACTTGAGGGCTGTAAGCAAGTGCTTTAACAAGGTTGCCTCTTCCTTTTTGGGGCTGGGGGAGAGGGGGATTCTCTCTGTTTTTATGATCCTACACATTCCACTGCACAAAACAAGGTGCTGCTGTGGTGTAGAAGAGAAGTGCAAAACTAGACTAGGGCTTTGCTGCATGTAACGATGCTGTCTAGGAAAATACCAGACTTGGCATCACTCAAAGCAAACCTACTAAATTGGCTGGAAAACTTGGCGGAAGATCTAAAGGGTGACGACACCATGGGAACGCCCTGCAAAATTGCCTGAATCAGAGATCCAGATACACAATACATGCTTGGGGTAAAGAAGCTATTTAGACTCAAGCGTATCCAGTGGAAATGCCCTTGAGCAGAATGTTACATGAGCAGAATTTAGAAATGTTTTCATGGTCTCAATATCAGTGGGGAAAACAGATTTTTCTAAAACTTTACCAAAGGTCTGCCATCTGAACCTACTGTCTCAATTAACATGTCCCTGTCAGGTAGACCCGATGGAAGCAAACTCTGCAAATCACAGTTAATTAATAGAAGTCAGTGCTGATTAATATGAGATACTAAATGAGGTCTAAATAAAGAAGTAGCAGCTTGGGCAAGCCGCAGAATGGCTAGCTAAAGAAACAAACGCAAAGGGCACAAAGTATAGGGGTCAATTGTGGGGACGTTTTGAGACATCAGTGGAAATTAATTTTGACAAATATCTTTTTCCATTTATGTAGTTTTTCTTTGGCTTTGATTTCTTTTTTACTTCTGTCTTTTACTTATTTGTACTTATTTCTGTGCAATCTAATACCCAAAACTCTCTCTCATTCCTAAAGCACCTAACCTAAGATGCCAAAGTCAGCATGCAAGAGTACTTTTTCCCGTTCACCAACCATAAACACCACGTAGAAAACCACAGCCTCAGCTGAAATACCAAAACACGGCCTGAGGATAAAGCAGTGATAAAGAGTGATAAACTGTAGGGTTGGGAAGAACCCTCTGGGAATCTGTCCCTCCAAGCATTTGCGGGCTTCCGCTTGGGCTTGGCCTAGTCTTCCAAAGTGGGCTGAGCATGGAGGCAGCCCACCCAGTTCTGCAATGGGCAACCTGATTCCGCAGCAGCAGCCCAAAATGCAGCTGCAACTGGTACAGAAGAGGGACGTTGCTTGTCTGGTGGTCATGGAGGGCTGCTTTCGCAGCAGGCCCCTCTTGAGTAGACCTTTCTTTGGCACCCATTGCAGCCAATCCTGGAACAAGAGCTCTGTTTGCACATGTGGGGTTCGATTCCTGGCAAGCACCCCATAAATAATGGGTGCACTACCCAAAAACTTGGACTTTGGGCCACTGTGAACACTCTGGGTCTCACACAAACATGGAACTCACTGGGGTGGCTTTGGGTCAGTCTGCATTTCTCCATCTACCTTACCTCATAGGATACTTGGAAAGAACCCAAGATGCTGCCTTGTGATCCTTGGAGAAAAGTTGGGGTTTAAACGCAGTCAACTGATCATTGTTTGGGTTTCATTACAAGACATATGAAATCATTTCATGGAGACTAAACCTCAGGTGTTCTGAAATAAGTTGTAATACTCAAAAGAAAACTTCAGTGTCTGTTGGTTTCCTCAGATAAAGTCCACAAGGAGATTGAAGAGACTTTTGGTTCTCATGCAATCAGTTATCAGGATAAAAGGAAGCTGCCGTACACCAATGCCGTGATCCATGAAATCCAGCGGTCAAGATATACCTTTCTGTATGGGCTTCCGAGACAATGCACAAAGGATATGACCATACAAGGTTTTTTCATTCCCAAGGTACCAAATATAGTAATGACTGAAATCCTGTATCTCAAGAAAAAGGAGAGGCACCTCAGAGATGCCTATGCTAGATTTTCCTCAACAAAATACCCATCATCTTTATGGGTTAATGATGCAATCCGCTGGTGGTAAGGCAGTGGTTGGGTTCACCTGTCATGACAAGAAACCCAGAGTGACTTCCAGGGTGCATGGTTGCTTCGCCTGATGGCAGACATAAAGAGGTTTCCACTCTAGCATGGTTTCCATACTCCTTGTTGGCTGTTGGCACATACCCCATCAGCCACTGTGCCTGAAATTCAGCCCCATACTGGATGGCTGGAGCAGCTCCTGCAGCTGCCGCTCTTGCTAAGGGACCATGTGGTAGCTGCACACCAGGGTCATGGAAATCACCGTGGTGGGTTCAAACAGCTGGAGAAACCATGGTGATACATGGCGACTATAGAACAGACTGTTGTTTCTTATTGTAGGTTCTGAAAACTGAATGAATGATGCTGAGACAGTGTGACAGGGTTTGGATGGCCTGGCAGGCCATCCTGTGCAAGTAACCACCATGGCTTGTTTTCTCGTGTGAACCTGCCCGATGTCTAGCTGGCCAAAGGATTTTTCAGATTCTTAGCGATGAGGCTGGAAAATTGCTCTGGCCTCATAGCTGAGGATCTGCTCTAGGATCCTCTCCTTCCCTTGCCACCAATGTAGAAAGAACTTCGTCAGCTGCATCTCTGAGGTTTTAAGAACAACCTCAGGGAAGGGCTTGTGGGGCATTCGGGGAGAAGAGGAGATCAGCACTGCCAAGGTAGAGATAGCCTAGTGGTACCTCAGCCTCCTTTCCTCCTGTTCTGAGGATCTGCACTTAGATGGAGGAGTTTGGGTGCAACCTTCCCCTTCATGTGCCTTGCACCCTAGAGTAATTTCTGGAGAGTGCTCAGATGGGGGAATAAATGTGCAGCTGGGGCTTTGCATGGAGACTTTTCTCTGAGCTGGGCTGTGTGGGAGAGGAAGCAAGTCTGTCTACCTGCTTGCCCTTATTTGCAAAAGCATAACAGGAAATGCCATGCCAAAGGCATTTGAGTGAAGTGCGCCATAACGAGCAGACAGTCTTCCAAATGGAGGGTTTCTTTCCGAGGAAGATGCTTTAATCTTAGAGTAAAGAAACAGTTCACCTTCAAGTTGTGGCTCAGTTCACCTGCAGTTCTGGGTGCTGATAAATTCAGGTTGTTCAGGTTGTTGATCAACCTGGTGCCAATCAACCTGGTCCCAGTCAACAATGCTACTCCCACACACGCACACCTGCAAGATGGAACATTCTGGGTGCAATCCAAATGCATTTTTCCCTTCTTTCTGGCAGAGCACCATGATTATTCCTGATCTGCGCTCCGTCCTTCAGGATCCTGAGCACTGGGAGACACCTCATGAGTTCAGCCCGAATCATTTTTTGGACAAGGATGGAAACTTTGTAGCCAGAGAAGAATTTCTGGCATTTGGTGCAGGTAAATACAGGAACAGGAACCGACTTGAGATTTCTAAAAAATATTTACAGGGTTATGTCCAAGAGATGCTATCTGTCTCAATTTCAAGTGAGTCTAAAAGTGTTCTTCTTCTTTTCATCATTTGCAATTTAGACTGGCTGGAACCAGTCTAAATTTGAGCATCTTTCTACCTGAGGCATTCATTGTATGACTGCAATTCGTTACTCACAAATCTTTTTGGGTCCTTTAGAAGTGTGGTGAATTCTAGTTTAGTTTTTTGCTTTTTCTAAGTGCAAATCTGGTTTTTCTGAGTTTATTTTGTTTTTAGAAGAGGGAAAGTGTGGTGTTCTTACTAAAAACACTATTCTTTGGTGTATTTCCACTATTCTGCTGCATCACAGTTCCATAGAAACATAGAAAGAGAGTGAGTCAGAAGGGGTCTCCCGGGCCATCTAGTCTGACCCCCAGCTCCAGCCGGCTCCACTCACAACATGCCCACCATGTGCATGTCTAGTCTATCCTTGAACACCCTCACCAGTGGGGCCTCAACGACCTCCTGTGAGGTTAGGTAGCCAAAAACCGGGAACAGAACAGCTCTTTCTGTAATGCTTGGATCCCAGTTCTGCAATGAAACAAAAAGCAGATGCAGCAATGAACAGCCTTGTGTAGAAACACTCTGAAAAAAGCTGCCCACTTCCTCTCAAAATCTGTACACTGAAGGAGAGCAGGGTCTGTGTCAAGTTCAGAATAAGTAGTGAAGGACCCATGTTTGCAGATGACACAAAGCTATTTAGGGTTGCTAAGATAAAGGGGGATTGTGTTTACGAGGGAGCACAGATGGGAACATTGAAACAGAGCGAGTCAGAACAGGCCTCCTGGGTCATCTAGTCTGACCCCTGGCTCCAGCTGGCTCTACTCATGACATGCCCACCATGAGCACGTCCAGCCTGTCTCTGAACACCCGCACCGATGGGGCCTCAACCACCTCCCGTGGAAGCCCATTCCACACCCTCGGGGTCCTGACTGTCAGGAAGTGCTTCCTGGCATCCACCTTGAATCTTGGTTCCCTGAGCTTTGCTCCATTGCAATGTGTCCTGCCCTCCTCTGCAGGGGAAAAAATGCCATGACCCACCTCTGCGTGGCACCCCCTCACGTACCTGTATATCACTAACAGGACCCCTCTCAAGGCTGAAAAGACCAAGCTCCTTGCCTCATACGGCCTCCCCTGCAAACCGGCCACCAACCTTGTGGCCGTACGCCCCACTGGCTCTAACATTGCTATATCCCTCCTGTAATGAGGAGACCAGAATTGAACACAATACTCCAGTTGCAGGTGCACCAGAGTCATGTACAGTGGTAGTACCTCTCTCGATCTAGAAGCCACACTTCTGGCTATGCAACCAAGGGTGGCGTTCGCCCTCTTGACCACCGCATCACACTCCTGACTCATGTTTAGCCTGCAGTCAACCAGCACCCCGAGGTCCCTTTCACAAATGCTGCTCTCGAGCACTAAATGCTGCTAGTATTTGTGTAAAATGCACTACTCGCACTTGGGACACATGCTAATGAATGCAGTGCAGTTTCTACTGTGTTGAACATGTGATTGTGTGTCACACTCAATTGGGACCAGTAGAAGGAGGAGGAAGGTTGATGTGCCCAGGAAAATGACCCTTTAAGGTTCTTTTTGTTTATGTATTTATTATATCTATATCCCACCCATTTTCCTTCTAAGGAACTTGAGGCAGCTTCTATTCTTGATATTCAATGTGGCATTCATTGTGGATAAGTGCAAGGTCTTGCACTTGGGGCATAGGAATAGGTGTCATAAGTATAGGTTAGGTGACAAGTGGCTGGAGAGCAGCGCTTGTGAAAGGGACCTCGGGGTGCTGGTTGACTGCAGGCTAAACATGAGTCAGGAGTGTGATGCGGTGGTCAAGAGGGCGAACGCCACCCTTGGTTGCATAGCCAGAAGTGTGGCTTCTAGATCGAGAGAGGTGTTACTGCCACTCTACACGACTCCGATGCGCCTGCAACTGGAGTATTGTGTTCAATTCTGGTCTCCTCATTACAGGAGGGATATAGCAATGTTAGAGCCAGTGGGGCGTACGGCCACAAGGTTGGTGGCCGGTTTGCAGGGGAGGCCGTATGAGGCAAGGAGCTTGGTCTTTTCAGCCTTGAGAGGGGTCCTGTTAGTGATATACAGGTACGTGAGGGGGTGCCACGCAGAGGTGGGTCATGGCATTTTTTCCCCTGCAGAGGAGGGCAGGACACATTGCAATGGAGCAAAGCTCAGGGAACCAAGATTCAAGGTGGATGCCAGGAAGCACTTCCTGACAGTCAGGACCCCGAGGGTGTGGAATGGGCTTCCACGGGGGGTCGTTGAGGCCCCATCGGTACGGGTGTTCAAGGATAGGCTGGACATTCACATGGTGGGCATGTCGTGAGCAGAACCGGCTGGTGCCGGAGGTCAGACTAGATAGCCCGGGAGACCCCTTCTGACTTGCTCTGTTTCTATGTTTCTATAATTCACCTCCTCTGAATCTAGTCCTTGCAACAAGAACCCTTTGCGGTGGGTTGAAATGACTGGCCCAAAGTCACCCAGTGAACTCCATGGTTAAGTGGGGACGGGAACCCAGATCTTCTGAGTCCCAATCCTGCACTCTTAGGTCAATTAGCTATGCACAGGTGTGGAGGACTGGAGGTTTTGCTTAAAAAAAGGAAAAACACATTCATTGAAACCTCTTCCTACCTGCTCACAAAAATCATAGGCAATGAAAAGAGGGGGAAGCAGCGTGTTTCTTGCTGCAGTCCTGCCAGCCCCCATGGGGTGAAGTCAGCAGGATCCTATCCAGCCCCCTGAAGGCAGTTCCTGGAAGTGAGCCCACCCCTCTCCTGGGCTGACTTTCCCATGACTAAGGCCACTGAAGTCAATGTGATTAACTTCGAGTACGGCCAGCAAAGGCAATCAGATCTACTTCTGAGCAGGCATGCATTTGCAGCTAATTCTGTCTTGTGCAAGCAGACAGAGGAGGCAGTTGGGAAGGCTTGGCGCAACGTTGCACCATCTAGCATTTTTTCAAAGGGAAGCAACTCTCCAACTCTCCCTGGGTGAAGATCCTCGAGTGACCCCGGGCCAGTCACAGACTCTCAGCTCCGCCTGCCTCACAGGGTTGTTGTTGCTGTGAGGATGAAATGGAGACGAGTGTAAACAGAAAAAGACAGGCTACAGATCTCCTCTTGTTCCCCTAAAATGCAGCTGCTCTAATTTGTGGTTGTGACAAAGCTCCGTGGAATCCATCCCTCTTGCTTTTGCGGACTTGCTTGCATACTTGGTCCTATCTGAGCCAAGAAGAAGTCTGCAAATGCTTGTGGACTGAAGGCATCCCAGCCAGAAAACTTCTTCTGTGTGGCATGCAGCAGGCTTCAGTGGATCCCCTTCCCCCAGTGGATCCCGCACATGCCCTACTCTAATGGCCGTCATGAACATATAAACCCCTAGCATGTAAAACACTGAGAGCCCACACGGTGCAGTGGTTCAGGCCTTGCACTTGGTCCCAGAGGATCTGAGTTCTAGGCCCTGCTTGGCTACTACGTGACTCTGGGCCAGGCACTGATTCTCAGCCGAAGTCGAGAATAGAGTTGCTTTGCTGCGAGGAAGCAAGATAAAACGGAGAGGAGCCCAAGCCAGCTCGGTTTCCCTGCGAAAGGAAGAAAGGTAAGGTATACATAGAATCTGATGCATTAAAATGATAATGCTATTGGTGTTCAGCTGTGAGATGCTGCCATTACATAGGATGGCAAAATCGATGGGACGGCAGGTTCTTCCAGTAGATGAACCTGGCTTGACAACGCCTGGGCCATTCCTTCCTGAGCGGTGCCCCCAAGAGGGTTAGAGGAAGGCTGGGAGGCTGCAATTATAGCAGCCGGAGTAGGCATTTCAGGAAGCAGAAAGTTCCATGCCCTGCTAACCCATTTTCCTTTCTTAGATCCACCCTGTTTCTGGGAGGTATACCTGCTCTAGAAATTCTGGCTCACCTCGGACTTCGCTTCCCTTCCTCCACAGGGACCCGGGCATGCCTGGGGGAGCAGCTGGCGCAGATGGAGATCTTCCTCTTCCTGACCAGCCTCCTGCAAGTGTTCCGCTTCCAGCGGCCAGAAGGTGTGAAGGAGCTCAGCCAAGACTCCATTGCAGGGCTGACAGCACAGCCCCAGCCCTACAAAATCTGCGCTGTTCCCCGCTGCACTTCATCATAAGACATACGTAACGATGCATTGTTCGTCTTCTCCAGGGGGCCTGGCTTTCTCACAATATGTCCAAAGTAGAATAGTTTCATCATTTTTGCTGCCAGGGAAAGTTCCGGCTTGATTTCATCTAAGACCCACTTGGTCATTGTTCTGTCAGGCCAGGTATTTACAAAGCTCTCCCCCAGGCTTTGAACACATCGGTTTCCTTCTTGCTAGCATTCTCCACTGTCCAGCTTTCATACCATACTGTACATAGTGATTGGAAATGCAATCATGTGGATGCTCTTGGCCTTGTCTCCAGCGTCCTTACACTTGATGCTCTCTCCTACTTCCTTCATTGCTTCATTCTCTCTCTCTCTCTCTCTCTCTCTCTCTCTCTCTCTCTCTCTCTCTCTCTCTCTTTTCTGCATTAACTGGTTTTATCATTGTTGTCAGGTCACCTCCAACTCATGGTGATCCTGTGAATGGAAGCCCTCCAAAATGTCCTCTCCTTGGCAGTCTTGCTCACCCCTTGTTAATTCAAGACTGTGAGTCAAGCCATCTCATAGTTGGTGGTTGTCACCTCCTCCTCCTCCTCCTCCTAGCATGATCGACTTCTCCAGTTTTATATTAAAAACTGCACCAGCATTTTATTTCTGCAAACTCAACCCCCATTTATCTTAAGTTTATCTGATGCTCTGTCTTGGGTAGGGCATCTTGTTCTGTTCAGACTACTTATCTCTAGAACACCTTGAAACGGAGCTGGAATCTGGCTGCGAAAACTAGTCATTAAATAATGCAGATCTGTGATACAAGCAGTTCCTACCACCCAAAAAAGATCTCTCTCTCTCTCTCTCTCTCTCACGCGCACACACACACACACGCACAAAGGAGAAGGCTTAATTTCCCCATCCCATCCCAGATTGCCATGGACCCAGTCCAAATCAGGACCGTGTGCAACCATTCATAACGACAGTGGGGTGGCACAGTGGCCAGAGTGTTGGTTTCTAGTCCCCACTCAACCATGAAGCTCACTGGGTGACTTTGGACCAGAGACTCTCACCCTAGCCCACCTCACAGGACTGTTGTGAAGATAAAATGGAGAGAAGAACTTTGTAAGCTTCTTTGCAAGAGGAAAAAAGCAGAGATATAAATGCGATTCAATAATAACAGTCCTTTAATTAATGCTTTAAATTAATTTAGTATAATCCTGGGTGAGGGGGCCAACCTGGCATGTATCAGGGAGACCTGGTTGGGTGAAGTGGGGGGGGTGGGGCTTACCCAGCTTTGCCCACTTGGGTATCTGGCTCAGCACCAACCTCGTCTGGAGGCGAGAGGAAGAGGTTTGGCCCTAATTTATAGAGATACAATCTCCCTCACGAGGCTTCCTGTCCACTCAAGGACAAGTCTCGAGTGAGTGTTCACACCTGGTGTTGGGTTACCGAGGCAGATTAGGGATTCTGCTGGTATACCGTGCACCCTTCTGCCGAGGAGGCTCCCTGCCTGGCAGAGGCCAACCTGGACCTGGTGTTGGAGCCCCCGCAGATGTTGACGGGGGGACTTCAATTCCCATGCCGAGGCTGCTCTGTCTGCAGCAGCTCAGGAACTCGTGGCCCCCACGACAGCCATGGGTCTGCCTCAACAGGCCAGTGGCCCAACACATCTCAGAGGGCACAGTCTTGACCTGGTCTTTTCAATTGGGCAGGAAGACAGTGGTCTGAATGTGAGGAATCTGACCTTACCTCCTTTGTCATGGTCAGATCACTTCCTCGTGAGGTTTAAACCTGGGGCCAGTTTCTCCCTCTGAAAGGGTGCAGGCCCAATTAAACATGGATCCTGATGGATTCCTGCGGGTCCTGAGGGAGTTTCCAGTTGATATGACTGGTTCTCCTGCCAATGCCCTGGTCGATCTGTGGAATATGGAAGTGACCCAGGCGGTGGACATGATCGCCCCTAAGTGTCCTCTCCTGCCAGGTAGAGCCCATGCAGCACCTTGGTATACTCCTGAGCTGCAGGCAGTGAAGCGAGCTGGGAAATGGCTAGAGTGCAGGTGGAGAAAAATGGATCTCACTGGACGTATCTTGGAGCTCATTAGCAAGCCTTTGCTGTGGTGGTAAAGGTGGTGACGAAGGAATTCTTCTCTGCTTCCATTGCATCCTCACAGTGCTGTCCAGCTGAGCTTTTCCGGGTGTTGCAGGATTTACTAAAATCTGGGCCTAACATCGGTCCTATTGCCCCATTGGCTGCACACAGAGACAACCTTGCCCAGCGCTTTAGGGATATAGTTGCTTCGATTCGCCATGAATTGGACTGCACAGCTGATGTGGTCCTAGAACGGGAGGCGTCCAGAGCAGCATCTGGTCCGTCTTTGTTGGATAGATTTCAATGATTGAGGCCTGAGGTGTGGTCAAGGTCTTTGGACAAGTCCGTCCCGCCACCTGTTGACTTGACCCTTGCCCTTCATGGCTGCTCATCAAAGTCAAGATCGGGATGTCTACCTGGGTCCAGGAGGTTGTCAACGCCTCTCAGAGGGAGGGTTGAGCCCCCCCACCTCTGGAGGGGGTGGTGATCAGATCCATCCTAAAGAAGGCAAATCTGGACCCAGAGATCTCTTACAATTACACACTGGTGATTAACATCCGGTTCTTGGGCAAGGTGCAAGTGGGTGGTGGCTGGAATGCCCCAAGCTCCCTTGGAGGAAACTGGAGCCATTTCAGTCTGGCTTCAGGCCTGGTTATGGGGCAGAAACTGCCCTGGTTGCCCTGCATGATGGGAGAGGGACAAGGGACGTGCATCTCTGTTGGTTCTCCTGGATCTCTTATTGATCACGGTATCCTTCTGGATAGGCTGGCTGGGTTGGGAGTTGGAGGTACGGCTGGTCGATTCCAGAAGATGGTGCTGGGGGATTATGGCTCTGCACCATGGCAGCTTTGCCATGGAGTACCACAGAGTTCCGTTCTATCCCCCATGCTCTTTGACGTCTACATGAAACTGCTGGGAGAGGTCATCCAGGGGTTTGGGCTGCGGAGTCACCAGTACGCTGATGACACCCAGTTCTACCTCCCTTTTGCACCTAATCTAGGTGAGGCAGTGACTGTCCTTAACCAGTGTCTGGCTGGAGTGTTGGGCTGGATGAGGGCCAATAGATTGAGGCTTAATCCAGATAAGATGGAGGTCCTGTTGGCAGGTGGTTCCACCCTCCGGGTAAGTGATCTTTGCCCTGTTCTGGACAGGGTAGCACATCCCCTAAGGAACAGGATGCAAAGCCTGGGAGTGCTTCTTGCCCCAGAGTTGCCCTTGGAGTGCCAGGTGTCTGCTGTGGCGAGGAGCACTTTCCTTCATCTTCAGTTGATCCACCAACTACACTTGGAGGAGCAGAGCCTAGCAATGGCGATCAATGCTCAGCTGGACTATTGTAACATGCTGTACATGGGGCTGCCCTTGAAGGCAGTCTGGACTCTTCAGTTGGCTCAGAACAGAGCAGCCAGGATGCTAACAGGGGCCAGAAGAGATGCGCATATAACGCCAGTCCTTTACTATCTGCACTGGCTTCCAATTGAAGTCTGGGCCCAATTTAAGGTGCTGGTGATGATTTATAAAGCCCTAAATGGCTTGGGTCCTGGATACCTGAAGGAGCGTCTCCTTCCATATATGCCTGCCTGCCTGCCCCCTAAGATCTGGGTTGGAGGTTCTTCTTCGGGAGCGCTCTTTGAAGGAGATCAGAAGAGTCGCTACCTGGAGAAGGGCCTTCTCTGTGGTGATGCCCTGGTTATGGAACATGCTTCCCAGAGAGGTGTGCCTGGTGCCAATGCTTTTTTCATTTTAGTGCCAGGCCAAAACCTTTTAATTTTCCCAATATTTTAAGTGTTAAAGTTTTTTTTAAGTAAACTTAAATTTTATTTACATTTTGTCCTTTGATGTTGTACTTTTACTTCATTGTACTATTGTCCTGGGACATTTTAGTGTAGGACAGTATAAAAACTATAGGTGGATGGATGGAGTTGTGAGTGCTCAACAGTTTAGTTTGGCTCCTATTCTCAGCCATTGATGGACCTGAGAACCAATAAAATCTATTGCTTTTACCTTTTTTTTTTTTGCCAATTATTTCTGTTTCCCCCATGGATGTAGGTGGCTTTGACATTTCCCCCGCATAGAAAATGATAAATAGCACTTTTCATCTGTGCCTTTCAGAGACATTAACATTGCAAGAACATTCATTGCATGTGTGAAAAAGCTTGTTAAAACCTTTCTCAAAATACCCTTAACTGGAGTATTGTGTCCAGTTCTGGGCTCCACACAACAGGAAGGATATAGCCAGGTTAGAGTCAGTGGGGCGTAGGGCCACAGGGTTGGTGGTCGGTTTGCAGGGGAAGCCGTATGAGGCGAGACTGAGGGAACTGGGTCCCTTCAGCCTGGAGAAGAGGAGACTCAGAGGGGATCTGTTGGCAACATACAGGTATGTGAGGGGATGTCCCACGGAGATGGGTAGGGACCTGTTCTCCCCTGCAGAGGAAGGCAGGACGCGCTCCAATGGAGCAAAGCCGAGGGAGCCAAGGTTCCATTTAGATGCCAGGAAGCACTTCCTGACAGTCAGGACCCCGAGGGTGTGGAATGGGCTTCCACGGGGGGTCGTTGAGGCCCCATCGGTACGGGTGTTCAAGGATAGGCTAGACATGCAGATAGTGGGCATGTCATGAGAGCTGGGGGTCAGACTAGATGGCCTCACCATAAGGGGCAGGGAAAGGGTAATAGATACAGAAACATTCTGTTGAATTTGTCACACTGATCTTTATTTCCATGAATCAATGCGAAACCAATCAGCAATTCCGTAACCTGTGCCTGAGAGCATGAGTGATGAACAGGCAAATGAATAATGCAGCCTTGTCTGGTTCTCTGAGAAACCTCATCTTCCTCCCTATTGCATTCCTGTCCATTTTGAGTAGGTAAAAGGCAAAAGCCATTTTACAGGATGAGGCTGCACAAGTTCCATCATGCTCAGGGAGATTTATGTTCAGATGAGCAGCTTTCGGCTGTGGATATTGGCAAATTTTCATTTTCTTGCATGTCAGATTTTTCTAAGCCACCCCAGGAAGGCAGGAGCACAAGCAGAGAAGCTTGCAACAATAACATTCCCATCATAGAAATGATCTGGTGATCATTTGCATGCTTTTAATTAAATATGACATCAAAACACAAGCATGTAGGTTCATTAACAGCACCATAAATCAACCTACATATCGCTAAAATCTTACAAATTTAAAATGAAAGGTTGCAAGTACAATTCTTCTAATCACCCCTGAATAGGCCATCCAATTGATAGACTTTTGTGGACTTCTAGAAATTGTAAAGAGTAGAGCATATTTCTACGCTCCTTGCAGCATTATTTTACTCTTCACTATTGCATAGAATTATGCTCAGACTGAAGTCCTCAGATATGGCAGTGCGGATGGTTAGCACCATCATAATTGATGCCAGACAGGCTCTAGATGGTCACAGGATTTTTTTGGACACCCTTGATCTGAAGAAACTGGTAGGAAGATAAGAACAGTCCTGCTGGATCAGACCAAAGATCCATCCAGTCCAGCACTCCATACACAAGGTGGCAAAGCAACTAGCCAGGGATCCCTCAGGCAGGATGGGTGCAAGGCCTCCCCCTGCCCAAGCTCCCCGGCAAGTGGGGTGTGCAGGCGGGCCATCCCTGGTCGAGGAGGGAGCACATGGTCAGCAAGGCTAGTTGCCACGGAGCGCCTCCTCTTCCTCCATGAATCTGTCCAATCCCTTTTAAAGCTGTCCAGATCGGTGTCCATCAGCTCTTCCCATGGCAACCATCTCGATAGTTTGGCTATATGCTGCATGAAGAAGCCCTTCCTTTTGTCTGTCTTAAACCTCCCACCAAGCAGCTTCATGGGATGACCTCGGGTTCAAGTGTTATGGGAGAGAGAGAAAAATGTCTCCTTTCCACTTTCTTTATACAGTGCATTATTTTAAATGCCTCTCTCATGTCTCCCCTTCCTTGCCTTTTTTCTAAGCCGAACAATCCCAGTTGTTGTAGCTGGTCCTGATAAACAAGTTGCTCCATCCTCCTGGTCTTTTTCACTGCCCTTCTCTGCACTTTTTTCAACTCCATAATGTCCTTTTTCAGGTAAGGTGACCAGAACTGGACGTAACATTCCAAGCGTGGTCATGCCAAACATTTGTATAAAGGGATTATGATCTGGGCAATTCTATTTTCGATTTCATTCCTAATTATGTCCAACAGTGTTGCTGTTGTTGTTATTATTACTCCACACAGAGCCCATAGGACTCTCTGGGCAGCTTCCAATAAAACATAAATAATAAAAGTTCAATAGCAAACTACAAAACAAAAATGCAAGATACAATATTAATTACAAAAGCAATGCAGAAATCAAAACAGGAATTTTTAATACAATGGTATAATACATAAAAGAAAGCAATAATAAAATAGAGCTGTGACCTCCACCCACCCACTCCCTAAACAAACCAAACCAGTGCAGCTAACATGGCGGTTGTTTTTTTCACAGCATGGTGCTGGCATTTTTACTGAGATGTCTGCCATCACCTCAAGACCTCTTCCTTGCAAGCTCAGGTCCCGTCAGTGTATTTGTGAAACTGAATGTTTTGCCCCAACGTATGTGCCTATGAGGGACACAGGGAGCGAGACAATGGTTCTCCTTTTGCTAGAAACACCAAAGAGGAAAATACCAAGCAGATGATGACCTTGACCAAGGAAACTAGCATTTCAAAAATGCCTTGGCAATAATGCAAGGCTCTTTATTGGCACTCCGGACTTCCTTTTAATTTTTCCTCCTTTGTATTCCTTTCATACTCATCCCTTCCCCTCCTGTTGCATCATCTCCATTTTCTAGTTGTCCTACTGCCAACAATGTAAGGTCCATTAGAAGAGAATGCACATCATGAGAATATGCCTAAGTTCGTACACATGCCTGGGCAAGTATATCTGGTAAACATTTTGGAAGCCCAGCAATGTTCTGGTCCTGAGTGACTGCAAGAAAGCAAATTACAACTCTTCAGTTTTATGCTGTCAAGGTCTGATTGTCCAAATTTAATAAGATCATTGAGTTTTAGGAGACTTTACGGATCAGCCAGTCCAGCCAGCTCCTCCGTAGAGGCTGTTCATTAGAGAAGCTACAGGTTCCCTGAATCATGACCACCAGCCTTTGCTTACATACATCTGGTGAAATGAAACCCCCCTCCCCCCAAGCTCCTAAAACCTTCTCAGATATGTTTCCCTGCAATTTCCACATGCCAGTTTCAATCTTGTCCTCAGGAGGGGCAGGGATCACAACTGTTTGATCTTCTGCATGACTTCCTTTCAAATATTTTTCAGATATTTGAAGATCGCTCTCCTATATCCCCATAAACTTCTCTTCTTCAGGCTAAATGGACCCAAGCTCTTCAACTGTTCCTCATAGCTCCAAACCCGTCACCCTTTTGCTTGTTCTTCCCTGGCCATGTTCCAACTTGTTGATCTTCTTAAAGATTATACGGATGTGTATAATCTTTTATAGAAACATAGAAACAGAACGAGTTAGAAGGGGCTTCCCAGGCCATCTAGTCTGATCCCCGGCTCATGACATGCCTACCATGTGTATGATGGTATAAAGTGCTCTAGGACCCCCTATTCTCATCTAGGGTTTCCATGGCCATGTGTTCCTTCTCCCTCATCCATTCTCTCCTTGACCTCACACACGCAGTCATGCAATCCCTGATGCACATGGGCTTTGTGAAAATGAAAAACAGACTGGGCGTCACTGGCATTCTTTGAACACCTCAGTCTCTGGATGACTCTACACACCAGCTTCACACAGACATTAATTAGTTCAGCCGTGTGGTATTCCTCAAGGCACATCCACAGAGAATCTACATTTGAAAGGAAAGGAAAGGGAGAAAAAATACTGACACAGTTGTGTGTCACAAATGAAAGAGAACACAATATAAATCATAGCTTGGTAGGGCTCATTGATTGATTTGCTATATTTCCAGCGCACTTATGACACCACTTAGATTGTTTTTATACCAATTTGTACCGGTTTTAATTTACTAAGTTAAGTTTTATAGTTGTTGATCATTTATATGTTATTTTATCTTGTGTATCTTAATTGTATTATTTTATTTATATTACCTAATGGTTATTTTATTATAATGGCCACCCAGAGAGTGTGATGCTAATGGGTGGCCTTTAAACAAATAATAAATAAATAAAAATTAAATATTTTTAAATTGCCCAGTAGCCAAAGCCTTATTTATTTATTGTAAAAATGTCTGTATACTGTTCACTTAGCCCTGTTGGCTCTCTAAACAGCTTACACTCAATAAAATCCCAACATAATACAACATATTAATATGAGGAACAGTCAATAAAACATTCCAATTAAACAATATGTAAAACTAAACTAAACAATATGCAACATAATTAACAAATTGATAAATACAAAATCCTGATAAAAACAACTAAAAGAATGTCTGTTCAAAGAATCATAGAATCATCAGATTCTCTTTATTTCTCTGCTGCTCCCTAATACCACTGCAGGAGTTTTGGTGTAAGACCCACAATTCTTACTTCTTCATGGGTATCAGATTGCAACCCCTCTTCAAGGAACCACTGTCCTGAAAAGAACAGCAAAATCTCCATACTGAAAAAGCATTCAAATAAGGAATGTTTGAAAGCAGAGGAATTACATTTAATAGCCCAAAGGGTAGGCATGTTTAAATACTATTAAAATCATGTGATTTCTTTCTCTTCTGCCGTCCTGAGATCTAGTATCATAGGACAGCATACAAAAGCTTTTAATAAATAAATAAAATAAAATTTCAGACCATTCTGTCAAACTATTTACAGAAGCAGAGCCTTAAAACATTACAGCTCCATATTTGCAGAAAGTCAGAGCACAAATAGATTACGATATGAAATACTAAGATTAAAATATCAACAGGCTTCCCTCCCTCAACACATGCATTTCTCACCTTTGGGGGCCATGTGCCCCCTTTTCCAGGAAAACCATCATCTCCCTGATTCAGAAGTATATTCACACCATCATAGCACCAATCATTTCCCATGCAGAAGGAGCACAGAAGAAGTTCGACAGCTGAGTGTGCAGAGGCGAAGCAGAATACTCCCTGGGAATAAATAAATGAGGCAGGGTTCATCTATCTGTGATGCCATCAGCCTAGCTGCCTTTGAGGAGGACGGGTTTCTAGTTGGGCTGGTTATGCACTCCTGCTCCAACCAGGCGTTTTGAAAACGAGTTTCTCGGAAGCTGCTCTCAGAGGCTTCCTGTCAACTTCTCCTGGTCAAGAGGGGAGGTTGGATGGATGACATGATAATAGCCCCGTGGTTTGCTCCAACAGACCATGCCTCTTTTCCACGAACGTAGGTGCATGCATTATTCTATTTGTGGCACGAAATTGGTCCCGTGCAGGCCATAAGTCCGATTATACAATTAATTGACATTAAAAATGCCTTCCTCCCAATTAGGAGAGTGACACATTCGAATTAGCCACGTTGCAATCAACAGTGAGCTGCTGTGATGCATCCCTGGAGGGTCAGATTCCAAGGCTACTTGGATATGATGTCAGAAGACTTGTGCCCCATTTGTTTTTAACCGTCATGGTATATAAACCAATGTTAGTACAAAAAGAGGGAGAGCGAAGCAGCAACGTATCTGAGAAAGCAAAAAGCTGTTACGAAAAGAAGGTACAACTTACCTAGCCTTCCTAGAAAGAGACAGCAAAGGAAAAAGCTGGAGAATGACAGAGATACGGGTGTTTTTGATTGTGATCCTGCTGGTTCTCTTGGGTCTGTGCTTCCTGAAACAGCAATGGTCTCGCAGACACTACCCTCCTGGACCGCTTTCTCTTCCTGTCATCGGAAGCATATGGCGGATGGGCTTTAGAGTTTCGGACAATATATTACTGCAGGTACGTCTTTCTACATAATTCACCAAAACCGTATTAAACAGAGTAGCAGAACTCATGAAGAGAATTTTGATTTGTTTTCCTTCTATGTTGACTGTGGACAGAGATGCTGCATTAGTAAAATGTCTTGGCAAATATGACTATTGTTTGGATATGTTCCCATGTGACTTGGAAAAATAGTGCTATTCATTATACTTATAGCTCTTTGTAGACTGCTTTTGCCCAGAAGTTTCTCCAAGTGGAAACCTGGAGAATAAGGTAGACTGAAATAAAAATAAGAATAGCCGTGGAATATAGGAAACTTCAGGATTGAGAGAAGCAAGTGTTTAGAAGAAATGTTTGACTACTATCCCCAAACCACTGATGCTTCCCCAAAAACAGGTCCCACCAGACAAACCTTGTGGAATTCTATGACAAGGTTTCAAGGTGGCTGGATGGAGGGGATGCAGTGGATACCTGGATTTCAGCAAGGCCTTTGACAAAGTGCCCTGTGATGTCCTGGTGGAGAAACTGAGGAGTTTTGGGATACACCAAAGCACCGTCCGGTGGATTAGGGCATGGTTGACTGACCAAAAGCAGAGGGTAACCATTAGTGGGGAATCATTGGGGTGGCAGCCAGTGACAAGCAGGGTCCCCCAGGGCTCTGGCCTGGGGCCGATCCTGTTCTTTTCATAAATAACATGGAAGAAGGGATGAGCAGTCTGCTGATCAAATTCGCAGATGATACTAAAACTGGAGCAGTGGCCACAACTGAGGAGCAGGTACTCCAGATCCAAAAGGATCTGGACAGACTACGGGAGTGGGCAGGAGACAACAGGATGGCGTTCAATGTGGATAGTGCAAGGTCTTGCACTTGGGGCATAGGAATAGGTGTCATAAGTATAGCTTAGGTGACAAGTGGCTGGAGAGCAGCACTTGTGAAAGGGACCTCGGGGTGCTGGTTGACTGCAGGCTAAACATGTGTCAGGAGTGTGATGCAGTGGTCAAGAAGGCAAATGCCACCCTTGGTTGCATAGCCAGAAGTGTGGCTTCTAGATCAAGAGAGGTACTCTATATTACTCTGGTGCGCCTGCAACTGGAGTATTGTGCTCAGTTTTGAGCCCCTCGTTACAGGAAGGATATAGCCAGGTTGGAGTCAGTGCAGCGTAGGACCGCAAGGATGGTGGCCGGTTTGCAGGGGAGGCCGTATGAGGCGAGACTGAGGGAGCTGGGTCTCTTCAGCCTGGAGAAGAGGAGACTCGGAGGGGATCTGTTGGCAACATACAGGTATGTGAGGGGATGTCACACAGAGGTGGGGAGAGACCTGTTCTCCCCTGCAGAGGAAGGCAGGATGCCCTCCAACGGGGCAAAGCTCAGGGAGCCAAGGTTCCATTTAGATGCCAGGAAGCACTTCCTGACAGTCAGGACCCCGAGGGTCTGGAATGAGCTTCCATGGGAGGAGGTTGAGGCCACATCAGTGAGGGTGTTCAAAGATAGGCTGCACATGCACATGGTGGGCATGTCGTGAGCAGAGCCGGCTGGAGGTGGGGGTCAGACTAGATGACCCGGGAGGCCCCTTCTGACTCGCTCTGTTTCTATGATTGTACATGAACTATGCTTGTATTGTATGGAAACTGTAACTGGTCGAACACCTGTCAGAGCATGAAAGGGTTACGATTCCCATGGTTCCACTGAATACGCATGGAAATTGCTGGGTTGCACCCAGGTGCAAGAGGACTTATGTGCCAAGAGTGATCTCAGTTCTTTGAGACCGTGACAGCGCCATCCACGTGCAAGAGCAAAATGCAAGCAGATCAGAGAATACTGCAGTATTTACTAAAGTACAAAGAACAGTATTGTGTGCAAGGAACAAGCAGAGGGGACACCCTCAACCGCTTGAGAGAGTTTGGGTGCTCTCAAGGGCCACAGAATACTGATTGCTGAGCAGGGGGCGAAGGACAGAAAGTGGGATGGGAGCGTGAACGGAGCGAATTACTGAGTTGAGAAATTCCACGCCACAGCATGTGCCATGTCCCTTCCACGCCATGTCCTTTATACAATATAACAGAAAACTCCAACTTCTATCAGAAGCCGCATTTGCTGCTTCATGTAAAATCGAACAACACCACCAAACTCTGCAAAAGAAATACAGACCCTTCTACTGGTAACACCATTAAGGTAGAACCCAAAGCATCCCTTTCTGGATTGATGCAGGTGCATGATTTGTGCTTGTGAGTGTGCCTCTCACACTGCCGGCCGGAGCCTGTGCACGACATTCCTCTAAATCACATGCCTTTTGTTCAGCTGCATCCCATGTGGCAACTGTGCGCATTCCTAGAGAGCTAGGAATTTGCTGCACTTCTCCTTGCTATGTGCTGAGCATGGAGCTGCACCTGAGAATGCTTCAGAAAGATTCAGCCCATCTTCTCATGACAGCAGAGTATGGATATACCCCTCCTGTGGGGGATGGAGCATCTTTTGTCTAAGGATTAGTGGTGAATTGCTTTTTCCTCTGGCCTGGAGAGTTTGCCATTGCTACCTCCAACAGGGTCCCCGGGGAATATCACCAGCTGTTTTCCCAACCCCTGCTGAGCAGGGCTCCTCCAGGCAGCTGTGCAAGCAGCAGGCTGGGTAGATGGTGAGACCTGTGACAGCGCTACCCACACCTGCTCAGCTGTGGCAGAGCTTGTGGGAGACTGGGGCTATTCAGTGTCAGGAAATCTCAGGATAGCAGGACCAGGAGAAAGTGTGCTTGGATTCACATGGAAGATGCCACTCTCAGTCTCAGCAGGACACCCAGGTACCCCCTCTGACAGAGACAAAAACAGCCACACTGTTGGGTAGCCAGTATGCCAAACTGGCTATGAGCTTCTAGAGCATATGCAGAGTTTTTATAAGTTGTGGCTCACGCACAGTCTCAGGGTAGTGGTGAACTACTGAATGGGTGAGAAAGAGAGGACAATGGGGAATAACGCAGAAACAGTGATAAATCATTATAGACTTCAGGAAAACATCGTGATACAGCAGAAGGCTTGATAACGAATAAAACAATCAGGTGTTACAGAATTCCAATAGGTTCTGATGTTTGGGCTTTACAATCAGAGATACAAAATGCCTTATGACAAAGCATGAGCTGGCTAGGTATTTTTACATTGCAAAGGAAGTGCAGCCGCCCTGATCATTTTGTTTCAGTTCTGCTTTGGCTTGGGACTGTTTTTCCTTTTTCCAGAGAACGAACAGGAAAGGAAAACCCCTGCAGATGAGGGGTGGGGGGAGTGAAGACTGGCAAATCTCTCCACATTTTAATGTATGAAACTTATAACTTTTATAAGGGCAACTCCAACATCACCAAGACCCTCAACTTTATGCAGGTCTTACACAGTGTGAGCTTTTTCTCATTCAAATGTTTTTCCCTGCTTGGGATCTTCTCTTTTCTTTTCCCACTAACACTCTGCATAGACTGAGATGTGAGAAGTTCAGATAAATAGACATCTTCCTGCTGCCCTTTATGCATTCTTAATCAGGCCATCCAGAAAACCAAGTTAATGAATAAAGTAGTATTACGCATGTAATACACTTGTGAATGCAGAAGGAAGTGCCATTAAATTCAATAAAACTCGCTCCTAGGCATGAGCTTGCGGACCAAAGGAGAGCTTTAATATTGGATTCTCTAGTCTACTCGAAGCCCAGCCAGTGTCACCAGGTATTAATATAACTCATCATGTTGACAGGTATTAATTGTGCTTTGTTGGAGTGTTGTTCTCCATAATCCCTCTGCTTTAAGTCTGAGTATAGCACTTTGTATGTGCCACAAGCTAGATCCGAGTGCATTTTTTTAATGGAACAAGAACACCTGCCACAAGCAACTGGATCTTGGAATGCTTTTTCACTGGATGGACTGGCAGTTTTGTGCTTCTGACTCTGAAGCAAGCCTGACTTTGTCAGGGAGATTTCTGAACCTACAGCAGGATCTCCACGGCGATGTGAAGCATGGGGATGAATCAAGATGCTTGTTAAGATAGCTTGGATATAAGCACCAAGTTCAGGACACACAATTCTAAAGGCATTTCATTTTACAAATTATTGGGTGGAACACCAGGTAATCTTGCCAGGTGATCTGGATGTCATCTGCAAGTTTGAACTTAGCACTCAACTGAGCACTCCGAGAAAACATAATTGACATATGAAACTGCCTCCCTTCTGCCACCAGCTGAAGCTGACTTCAACATCAAAGCTTTAAGCTAAATGGAGACATCACGTGGGCAAGCAGACATTATCTCCTTGTAGACAGGGAACATAGTCAGGAGTGTTCACATTGCTATAGTCCCATATTACTGAATAAAATACAGGAGGTTAAAATCGACCTTTAAGTTTATGCAGGGAACCCAGCCAGACCCCACCTCCAGCCTGGGAACAGACAGGAATTCCTGCATTCCTAGGAAAACAGGTGAGGGATACACAGCAATGGAAAGGAAAGATGCAGACTCACATAATCAGAGCGACAATTCTCCAAGTCTGGGGGTAGTGAACAGACATCACTTGGCATATGTAATCCACCACCCCCAGTAATTCAGTTTTGGGTCTGAGAGTACAAAAGAACTGGGAGATGATATGGTTTGCAAGCAGGTTGGAAAATTATATTTTAATAGAGTAATTTTCCCCTGTACACTACTGGCAGTTGGAAATGCTAATCCGTGTTTTCCCTTTTTCCAGTACTTGCAGATTTAATGATATATTCAAGAAGCAACTAGGGGAACAGACAGGGCTAGGTTGCATCATTCTTTCAAGAAATGATTGAGATGAACATTCATAAAGGATGTATGGATCCATCCTGTCCTTTCTGTATGGCATATATTTTATTTGTATCTAAATTGCAAGCAGGTATCTATGACAGAGGAAATGAAACAAAAGTGGAAAAGAGAATTTGACAAAACTGTCTCAGAAGAGCCATGGGACTGTGTCTGTTCAAACATTTGCATAATTTTCTAGATATGACTTCTATGAAATAATATATACTTGGGATAACGTACCAGCCACCATCTCTAAGATGTTCCCTGGAGAAGCTGGAGCTGCAATGGCAAATGGGCTTCTTCCTGAATATGGCCTTGCAACTCTGTTAAGGAATTCTGGAAGAAGCTTGTAAACAGTGTCAGACAAGATAAATTACAATTGACTTCAACCTTTACAAGTCTAATCTTGGGTGAGATCAGATCCCTAGAAACTTAGTGATGATGGTGAATCAGCTGGAAGGATGGCTTGCCTTAGCCAAAGCTAGGAAGCGTGCAAGAGATGTGTATCATCTCTGGCATGCTGGAGAAGGAAGATCTTCTGGAGTGCTATGGTGATGAATAGAATAATGAGTTGCAGCTTGCTATGGGAGGAAAAGGTCTGCTCCATCCAAACTGCCAAGGCAAGACCAGGCCTGAAATATTTCCTGAAATAAATATATAAAAGAATGCTATCAATAGTAAGATTCAGACCTGGAAGAAGCTTACCAAACATGATCACTTTCATGATTCATGTGAAATGTTGATACAAGATTGCAGTGCTGATTATTTTGCTGGCTGGAAAAATAACACATAGACTTAATTTTTCTATGCTAGTTAGGGATGTGGAGAAACCCATACTGGGGCTGGGAACCTGGTGGATTTGATCGGGTTCAGCTCTCCAGATTGCAGTCTACTTTGTTGCCACCCTGAGTTGGAGTTCCTGGCAAGTGTTCCCATATTTTCTGGGGGCTTTCCAGGAATCGAGTCCCACAGGCTGTGCAAGCAGTATCTCTTCTGTGCCACACTTAGCAGCCTTCGTTTCTGCTGCTGAAGATGCTCGCCAGTCACGCAGCCTGTGTCCCGTGAGTATCTGCGGACTTCCTTTCAGCTCAGCTTGCTTTGTAAGACTGGGCCAAACATGAAAGGAAGTCCCTGAATGCCAAAGGGACAGATTCTGGTAAGTGTCATCCCAACCCTCAAGCTAATTACTATTTCTATGATGCTTTTAGAAATCTTAACTGTATTGAGTAATGAGTTTCATCACTGCAAACTGCATCATTGCTTGTTTCATCATTGCAAGCTGGCTGTTGCACTTTAAAAAGTACTGCCTGGAGGCTGAAGTTGCTAGCATTAAAGAACAGACATTCCTTGAGGAGCCAAATATGACTTAGCTGCTCCATCTCCTGTACCAGCAGGTACAGGAGCATTTGACCGGCAACATTTCTTATAATGTAATGGAGCAAAAGGATTAGATGTTCCTTTTCCGATAACTTTAAAAAGTGGAATCTATGAAAAGAAGAATGAAGGAAAAGGTGGAAGAATGAAGGAAGGGAAGGGAAGGTGGAAGAATGAAGGAAAGATGAGAAGGGAGAAATGGGCATGATTCTTCAGGAAAAAAGACAACTGGGGGAGAGAGAGGGCAGAGTGGAGAGCTGCACCTGGGCACATGCTGCAGGAATTAGGATTTCAGGAAGGCTCACATACAGATACTAACTTCAAACAATCAGCATTACTTGATTGTGATGTATTTCCCCCCTACTTTGATCCAAATGGCAGCTGGCAGAGCAATATGGAAATATTTACACGATATGGCTAGGAAATCTTCCCCTGGTTGTCCTGTCTGGATTCCAGACCGTGAAAGAAGGACTGATCAACAATTCGGAAGACTTTGCTGACCGACCAACGACTCCTTTCACTAAAGCTCTAGCAGCAGGAAGAGGTAAGTTGTGCATAGGAAGAAGGTGTACTGACCTTTTCTCCAAATAAAACATGAAAGAAATGCCAGGAAAAGGGAATAGAGCATCTTGCTATAAAAGTTGGAGATTTCACTAGCAAGTGAACTTTGGAAAGAACTGGGAAATGTAGGGTAACTTCTTCATCATTAGTTACAAGGAACACATAAAATCCATAGAGCTTTAGAAGTCAACAAAGGTGACAAGGTCTGTTGTGATGATCATTTTCATGGGTAAATACCATTGTCTGAAAGGTAGGTATGGAAAGGCCATGGCCAAAGTGCAGGAGGGGAAAAAGCATTGTGTAGTTCCAGAAAAGGAGCAAAAGAGAAAAAGAGTTGTGTGGAAAATACAAGATAGACAGGAAAGCAGTCAGATGCTTACGGCATAACAACAACTAGAACTCTTTGGAAGATCTCAAGTTCTTCATTTCAGTTATTTTAGGTTAGCATCTAGATTTTGGAACTTTAGGATTCAAATCATGATGAATCCTCTTTCATCTGCTGGTTTGATTACTCTCTTGGAATTATTCCCCTGCACATCCGATGTTAACTCCTCTTATAAGTGCAATGGAGAACCTGAAAGTTCTTCTCTGTTGTAACAGGGACACCTTTTGAAACAGCGGCTATTGGAACGTTGGCTTATTGGTGTGAACCTAACAGTTAACGTATTAGAACCCAAATAACAAGGGACATATTAAAAAGGCATCTTGTAATAAAGAAACCAGTCTTTTCCAGTTCAAAATGTGACCATTGTTTCTTGATGCCTCAGGTATTGTACTTTCGAATGGTCACACCTGGAAGCAGCAGAGACGGTTTGGTTTGCTCACGATGCGCAAGCTGGGACTGGGCAAGAAAGGCATGGAGCTCCAAATTGAAGAGGCGGCCCGGCAGCTTATTGAGAATTTTGCAAGCATGAAGGGTATGTAATATTTGGAAATTATGCAGCCAGATGTGCCAGTCTGCAGAAACAGATGTGTACTTTGTGCACAAACTTGAGAGTAGAATTTCATTCATGTTGCCTGATTTCTAGGAAAATGCATTTCCTGAGATCCCAAAGGTCTCCCATGTCTCACCACAGAATCCTACTTTTGGTATTAACAGGAGATACTGAATTAATATTAATATGCCTTTTTCAGGACAGCCATTGGAGCCTTCGTTCCCCATTACCAACTTGATCTCCAATGTGATATGTGCACTGACTTTTGGACACAGCTTTTCTCTTGAAGATAAAAGCTTCCAGAAACTGGTGGAAGCCATTCACGATTCCTTAAAAGTTGCAACGAGCTTTTCTTACCTTGTAAGTAGTTGTTCTGTACTTGTAGAGTCAGGGAGAACTTCCAAGACTTAAGGATCCCTTCTGTCTTTGCAAATCTGTACAAATGTGGTTAGAGCTTTGAATTTAGAAGAGTTTCTGAATCTTGGTCAAGAGGACCTGGGCTGATACTGAAATATTCTGGTGCAAAATAGAGCTGCCAGGATGCTGTTGAGGACTGGTCGTCACTCTCACGTAACTCCAGTCCTCTATCAGCTCCATTGGCTTCCCATTGAAGTCTGGGCTCAATTTAAGGTGCTGGTTGGTACCTATAAAGCCCTAAACAGCTTGGGACCAGGATACCTAAAGGAGCATCTTTTTCCCTATATGCTCTCCTGCCCCCTAAGATCGGCAGCAGAGGCCCTCCTTTGGGAACCCCCTTTGAAAGAGGTCGGGAGACAGAGTACTCAACGGAGGGCTTTCTCTGCGGTGGCGCCCCAACTATGGAATGCGCTCCCTAGAGAGGTCCGCCTGGTGCCGTCATTATATGCTTTTCGGAGCCAGGTCAAGACCTTTTTATTTAACCAATATTTTAATGTTAATTGATTTTAATTTTACATACATTTATTTAACTTATTTTAACTATTCTATTTTGTGTATTCAGCTGTGGTATAGTTAATTTATTTTGTTTAAGATTTAGATTATATTGTAAGCCATTCAGAGACGCCAGTGATGGACGGCCTATAAATGTCATTCATAAATAAATAAATAAATAAATATCATCTGATATAATCGATCAGGGGGCACTTGTAAGTGCTTAGAAAAGATGGTCTAAGTGCAGTTCATACACCAGCAGCACAAGTGTCAACTCATCGTGGGCATAACTTCTTCTTCTTCTTCTTCTTCTTCTTCTTCTTCTTCTTCTTCTTCTTCTTGTGAGATGTTGATACCATCAGGAAATGCATGCTTGCCGTTTGGCATGAGAAATAGCAAGGGCAGCCTCTTGAGGCCCAGTGGGGACTTGAAAACATTAAAACTACCAATGGCTCTTTCCCAGTTCAGTGAGACTTGGAGTAGCCTATTTTTGATTAGGACTATGGGACCATGAACCACACACTCAACTCTATGTGGGAGAGGTGGTATAAAAATGGAACAATTATTTTCACCTGACTCTTGAATCCTCAAAGTTTAATCACTAGCATTTATTTACCTAACAAAAGGTTACCTTACTTTTTCACAAAATATTCAAAGATGTTCAAAAACATCAGGATTGAATCCGTAGGACAAAACATCAAAATGAATAATCCCGTGCATATCTAGGCAGAAGAAAGTCCTGCAACTTCCAATATTCCTTGAATCCTTAGGCAGACTTTTTCTTGTTCGAACATGCATAGGACTATGCTCTGAAACACTTTGAGGAAACATATTCCCCCCAAAAAGTTCCTAGCATCACCAGAATAAACCAGTTACACAAATTCAGAGGACTGTAGGATTTAATAGACCAAAATCTCCTGAAAAGGAGTAGGGTTGGAGAAGAAATTTGTTTGGTTCACATTCCAATGGAAATGGTTCATTCCTGAACCAAGACGTAAACCGAAATGCAGTTGTACTTCCATAGCCACAGTGTTCCTCCATGAAAATAACTGGGTGTACTTATTAATCTAGAAAGATTAAAAATAAAGAACACCATGTCTTGCCAAAGAAGACTCAGCAAGATTTTGACAAATTGCTTCATTAAGGATTTTGAGTAAAAGTAGAAATTATGGGATAAGGGAACTGATCGTTTTATAGACTTGTAATTGGCTGAATAATTCAAAGCAGAAGGACAGGCTTAAATGAACACGGGAGAAATGACGGTCTGTATTTTATTTATTTATTCAGGAGACTTCTATGCCGCCCCATTTGCCGAAGCCTCGGGGTGGCTCACAGCCATAATTGCGATGTTTGCTAGTAATTGGAGTCAAAGTTGAGCAGTTAGGCGTCTGCATTTAGAGATGACGCTAGATATTCAAGGCAGTGAAAGTCCCGTTGTTGTTGTGACATGCTATCAAGTTGTCTCTCACTTGGCAACCCTAACAATTCATGCCCTTTGCAATATCCTGGCTTTCACAGCGCTGCTCAGTACCTGTAAATTCAAGGCTGTGGCTTCCTTGACAAAACTGAGCCATCTTACATTTGGTCTTCTTTTCTTCTGCATTAGACTTTCCCAAGCATGATTGTCTTCTCCAATGAATCTGACCTTCGCGTGGTGCACTCACAGGAGAACAATCTCAATTTTGTCATTTTTGCTTCTAGGGAGAGTTTTGCCCTTACTCGATCCTTGCCCTGACCTATTTGTTCATCCTTCTGTCAGGCAATTCTCAAAGCTCTCCTCCAGCACTGTGGTTTGAATGTATCAACTTTCTTTCTGTCAATGGTGTCGTGGTGAAGAGCCTGGGACTGGGACTCAGAGGATCCAGGTTCGAGTCCCCGCTCAGCCATGGAGCCAACTGGGTGACTTTGGCCCGTCACAGACTCTCAGCCCAGTCTGCCTCACAGGGTGGTTGTTGTGGGGATAAGATGGAGGAGGAGATGTAAGCTGCCTTGAGCCCTTTGTAGGAAAAAGGCAGGATATAAATCGGAAAAAAAAAAAAAAAAACTCTCATCACTGACCATACATACTGACCAGGAATCCAAGAGGGAGGATGATTTTGTCCTTGGTCAACAGTGAAACAGCCTTACATGTGGTGATCTTTCCTAGTTCCTTCACTGCTGCCCTTCCAAGTCTCAGTCTTCTTCTAATCTCTTGGCTGTGGTCTCCCTTTGAACTGATGACTGAAACAATGTTAAATTTTTCAGAATTTCAGTTTCTTCAGTGTTGATATTCATGTTGTGAAATTCTTGATATTCATGTTGTGAAATTCACACCTCTTTTTGCTGTGGGAATTGTCTTTCGGCATTCTTATCTCATAATGTCTCTGGTTTCAGTCCACAGTTCTTCTGACTCACTATCTTTAAAGTTAAACCTTTTCCGCTTTGCGAACTTTTTCAACTTTGTGCTTTACTACCCTAATTTTCATTCCTATCTTTCACTAGACTAAATCCCCAGAATCTGCTAATGGTAGGATTCAGAAGAAGCCACTAAATCCAGTTTTTCATCCAATGAAAGTCTTATAATGATTGTGAGCCGTCCCGAGATGCAATGCCTAAGGGACAGGATATTAAAGTTCTAAATAAATAAATAAATAAATAAATAAATAAATAAAATTGCAGTTCAGAAGAATCCAGTTGTGCATGATGGATTGTGTTGCCTGTCTCCTTCCTGATAATGTCAGGATTTTGCTCTTGTTTTCCTGACAGCTGTATGAAATGTTCCCAGGGATCATGAAGCATCTCCCAGGGCCCCACCAAAAGGCCTTTTCTGCCATACAGGTGGTGCTTTCTTATGCAAAGGAGGAAATCGGGAAGCACAGGGAACATGAGTCCTTTCACGAGCCGCAGGACTTCATTGATTACTACCTACTTCAGCTGGAGAAAGTAAGCATTGGTTTCTGTTTGCTTCCAGGAGCTCACCTTCATGGAAGCATCTCATTCCCTGCTAGGACCAGGCAGCAATATCTGCCGGCTCTTCTTCAGGCTTCAAATATTTCTGTCAGGTCTTCACCCAAACGTCACCCATATTATATCCAGTTGCTAAAGTCCCGTATCACATCGGAGGAACTAATCCAGGGAGGTGGCCACCAACACTTAGTACTCTTCAACATTTTTCTCAATGACTTGGAGGAATAAATGCAGAAAATGCTTCTCAATGTGCAAGTAACACAAAATCAGGTGGGATGACTTGTTTCTTAGAAGGAAGAAACAACATGCAAATTTTTATGGATAGACTACTCTGGTTCTGAGGGGTCCACTTGCGCTTAACTGAGGGCCATGCCTTATATTTAGGGGGAGGGCAGAGTAAGTTCTGAGGGGTCCACTTGCGCTTAACTGCCAGGTGCATGATCAATTTGCCATAATCCTTGCATCTCATTCTCCAGCAGCATAAATATTGAGAAGCACCACCATTTGCAACCAACATTCTAATAATAATAATAGTAATAATAATAATAATAACAATAATGATGATGATGAAAAAGGCATTTTTTCTTCAAAAAATGAAATTTTATATTCATTAGAAACCAACCACACGATGCCGTTTAGATTAAAAGAAACTGTGCAGGTGGTAAGGAACCTTTTTCCAGCCAACAGTGACTAAATTAATTAATACAGAAGCTGATCCAAAAACTTTAAAAAGTTTACATCACAAAACCTGAATTACTGGAAAGACTTGGGTCTTGTGTAAAGCTGAGGTCAGGAACTTGCTTTGCAGGATTGGGCTGAGCACAAGAGGAAGCCCACATATTCTGGAGGGAGAGATTTCCAAAGGGTCTGCCTCAGACTTAGTCAAGGCGCAGTTCCAAGAATAATCTCGGTCTGCAATCCCGCCGTGCCACAGCTGTGGCTGCCACTGATTATGTTCAAGGGCCTCAGAGCTGCCAGCAATGGCACATGGTTTGTTGCTAGGATGATAAAGACAGCACGGGAAGCGAAAGACGCGCTGAAGGGCAGCCTGAGGGTCACTGCAACTAACATTTTGCTTTTCGACATTCAGAAGGGCAACAAGAAGGACCCCACCTCCACCTACGATTGTGAGAACCTTGCTCAGTGCATTAATGACCTTTTCATTGCCGGGACAGACACTGCTGCCACAACGCTGCTTTGGGCATTGCTGTTCCTGACAAATCACCCAGATGTCCAAGGTGAGAGAACGTGGTTCAAGAGGAACCAGGACCTGCCCTCATCCTCTCATGGGATGTGGTGCCTTTCCCACGATGGCTGGGTCTCCGTGACAGGATGCGGCAGGTTACATGCTGTGTGAACCTAGACTGCCTCGCCCAGGGCGGTTTGTCTGCAGGCCATGGGCCACTCCAACAAGCCCTGCCTTTGGTAGGGGCTGTTATTCCCACGATGGGTTGTTAGATTGTGGGAACCCACTGGACTGGCCCCATCATGGGAATCACGTGTCAAGCAAGCAGACCTCTTGGCAAAAACCCTTTGCTGAGCTTGCCGGCCCGCCCACAAGAGCTTAAACAGTGGCTGAAGGGGGCATGCTGCTCTCCCTGTCCTAATCACAAGCCTGTTTCCCCACTGCTGTTTTCTTTCTTGCTGAGATCACAAAGCTCGGCTTGACAACCGGCTTTCGGAATCCCATTTCTATAGCCACTTACTGCCCCTTCCATGTGCCTAAGATGCACTTTGGAGTGGCAGTCAGTGGCTGGCAGACCGTAATGCACAAAAAAATGTTCGCAAGTAGTTCTGCTCTGAAAACAAACAAATGCAAAAAAATTAGCAGTGTTTTGAGCTGCAACTTGGGTACTTTAAAGGGTGAATGGGGGTAATGAAGACTTGTGATCTCAGGGGAAAAATGGGGAAGGGAAAGGATTAGAAGCCATGGAAAACCCAAAATGGCTCACAGTCATGGCGGGGAGCAGGGAGACAATCCCGTGGTCCAGAGAAGGACTTAGAGAGAAGGAGTGGGAGAGATGGGGCAACAGCCCATGGTGATCCTGGTCACGACAGGTGCATTGTGAGTGTTTGGGAACCAGCAAGCCATCGTGGCTTATTTCCAGGCTGGCTTGTCAGGATGTGAGACTGCACCCATCTTCTTCTTACTGTTATTACCTTGCATTGTAAACGGCTTAGAGAACTCATGGCAGCTGACAGAATTCTCCTGCTGCTCTAATCTTATCCTCACGCCAACCACCCTGTGATGTGAGTTGAGCTGCAAGTCTGCGACTGGCTCCGTGGCTGAGTGGAGTGCTAGAACCCACATCTCCTGAATCCAAGTCCCACGCTCTTACCGCCGACACTTCTCCTTTCAGTTCATACAGAGGTCCTTCTTTCAACATTGCCTTTCTCGTTTTTGCCACCCTTCCCAGGCCAGCACCACTGGGGTGCAGTGGCCAAGCCTTGGCACACAATGGAAAACTCACAGCTTTAATTAAATCCACAGTAAGGCCTGAGAATCACAAGAGGCTGGCAAAAGAGCATCATTTCGAGCTAGTGGCTGGCTGCTGCATGAACAGGCCTAGATGGACCCTCGGTCTGACCTAGCAGGTCATTCCTTATGTTCTTATGACCATTTCAGACCTGAGCCCTACCTTTAGTCCAAGCATGCATTTAGGAACTCCTCCCTCCCTCCCTCCCCCCCACCCTCCCTCCCACTATTGCTATAGGATAGTGCTATCTTGAGCCCAATTCTCCCTTTCTTGCCCTTTGGCTCCAAAACACCTGATCATTATTGGCTCTTCCCAACTAACAAGACAATGCAACTCTAAAAGCCCTCTAGTCAGCTGGAAGATAAGCCTTTGCTTAAGTGAAGAGTCTTCACTGGGAAAAAATTCCCCAAACCTCCCCTTTCAGTAACACTGTGGGATCCACCTTCAAGGTGGCTCCCATGGGTGAAGGTCCAGCCACTGAGCCCCACACAGGCCCTCTAACTGGGCAGCTTGTCTCTCCTGATGTCTCATTATGTGGTCACGGACCAGACAAGGCAACAGTTTTCTCTCCTCCTCTTTTTGGACCCCTCCATCTCTTTCAAAATATGCCTGCCCTCATGGTCAGCCTGGGAACCTGTGGGCAGCAACCTCGATGAAGCTTCAAAGCTCTCTGCAGCCCTCTGAGTTCCCACCCTTTCCATCACTGAGCCATCAATGCCTTCTTCAGAATGTGATGGATGGTGACTCTGGAGTGCCCATGAAGGGCGGATGCCTGGCCCATTTGCTACAAAGACTGCTGTGCAACCAAGAAGAGTTTCCTCATCCTCCAGCTGAATGTCAAGGGCTCTACCTTTAAAGCATCCCACTTGGAGGGCGAAATCCCAGTTCAGATTCCCACTGGGGTGCTCTGGGAATGTCTGTATGTCTCAGCTTATCCAAACTCACAGGGTACTTGGGTGATCTGTTGGCGACATACAGGTATGTGAGGGGATGTCACACAGAGGTGGGCAGAGACCTGTTCTCCCCTGCAGAGGAAGCCAGAACACTCTCCAACGGAGCAAAGCTCAGGGAGCCAAGGTTCCGTTTGGATGCCAGGAAGCACTTCCTGACAGTCAGGACCCTGAGGGCGTGGAATGGGCTCCCACGGGGGGTCGTTGAGGCCCCATCAGTGCGGGTGTTCAAGGATAGGCTGAACGTGCACATGGTGGGCATGTCGTGAGCAGAGCCAGCTGGAGCCAGGGGTCAGACTAGATGGCCCGGGAGACCCCTTCTGACTCACTCTGTTTCTATGTTTCTATGAATTAATGGCGGAGCAACAACCACGTCTGCTGCCCTCAGATCCTTGGAGAAAGGGTGGGGTAGAAATGGAGCAAACCGATGGTTGCTGGGGATTCATTACAAGACTTGTTGAATAGTACAATCTGCAATAAATATCTGTCAGCAGTTCTGCTGGGGAAAAAAGTTTCCCTTTTTTCATTTCATTTATCTATCACATTTCTATACTGCTCCACAGCCAACGCACTCGGGGGGGTTTACACAATCCATCGTTGTCTGACCTCTGCTCAAGAGACAGCAAAGTCATCAATAACTCTATTCATTACAGGTGCTCCCTTTCATTTGTCCAATATACCATGTATGCATGCATGCATGTATGTATGTTTTGGCAATGACAGAAAATATCTTAACAAGATGCATTTCTAAATAAAGGCAGAATACCTCCATTAGTAATAAAGACAACATCATAAGAGGGAAACATTTATCTACTTTGTATGGGGTTAACTTAACTTGGTGCCAAAACATCTGCCTTCAGGCTTATCTTTTTCAAATTCTGACCTTCTTGATAAAGGCTTATTTTATATTTTTGACCTTCTTGAGTCTCTCTAATAAAATACTATGTAACCGACCCTTGTTGCTAAAATCAGGAAAAATTATATTCCTCATTTCCTTGTGGTTTCTGGAAGAAAAAGTCCTCTTCAAACTAATGCTTCTGCTTTCATCATTTTCCACAGAGAAAGTCTACAAAGAGATGGAGGATGTTTTTGGTCCATCCTGCTCAATTGCCTACCAGGATAAAAAGAAACTGCCCTACACCAATGCGGTGATTCATGAGATCCAGCGCAGAGAATACGTCTTGGTATTTGGGCTCCCAAGACAAACTTTGAATGATGTGACTGTGAACGGCGTGCTTATTCCCAAGGTACAGGCGGTAGCAGGGGTTGCGTTCCCATGTTCCAGGAGTATAGAGCATCAGGCCTGTCTATGTTAGTTTTCACGGATTCAAAAGTACAACTCTGTTAGATCCAGGAGGTCTAGGGCTAAACCAAAACACACACTCTCATCATGTGCAGGTGGACAACTGGAAAGATGGATATGGGTCATTTTCAAGGTGGGGCCTGAAAGTAGATGGGTGCTTACCATTGCTAGTTTAACATCCCCCCCCCCCCGGGTTCATTCTAAAAAGCTACTTACGCATGCAATTGGGGGCATGTTTGCTGGATCGCTTCGTTCCCTCACCCCCAACATTAAAAGCTTAATCCCAAAGGACAAACTCTGATCATGTTTTCTTACCTGCTGGAGCCATGATGCATGGGAAAAGGGGATTTTCATTGAAAAGAGGAAGGCAAAAAAATAAGGCATCTTCCTGCATGTACCAGCATGGGAAATGTTGGAAAAGAAAAGGAGGGCAGATATTTCCCCCTTCTCCATAAAATCGATGCTATTGCTCAGGCTCCCCAGTTCTGTGGACCAGCATCGTGTTTTGGAACGATGTGCAGTGAAACTAGGATAGTTCATTTGCAGAGACAGAAAGAAACTTGCAGTGATGGGTACTGTGCAAGTGACGAATCCTGAAATGCTGCTCTGGGTACGTTCTGAATCTTGGAATCTTAGCATAGGCTGTTACAGCAAAAGCACAATGAAAAGAAGTCGCAGAAAAGAAATACAATAGATTGGACATCTCTTCTTCACAAAACAGTTCTGCAGCTTCCTTGCAGGGAGTTAGTTGTCATCATGCAACTAACAGAAGGTTAATTACTACACAAGAGTTTTATTCGAATATCCTGGGGCAACGTGCTGGGACATCGAGAGATGACATGACATGAAATGCCCTCTTGGTTTCATATGCAGAAGACGAAGCTGCATATAAAACTTTCTGAATTGCTTGATTCTTTCTTTCCTGCAGGGAACCATGATTTTTGCGGACATGCGCTCTGCTCTTCTTGATCCTGAGCAATGGGAGACACCTCATGAGTTCAACCCGAACCATTTTTTGGACAAGGATGGCAACTTTGTGGCCCAAGAAGCATTCCTGGCATTTGGGGCAGGTAAAGGCAGAATCACAGACCTGCTTGGGCTGGTATTTCTATCAAGCTGCCCATCACAGCCCTAAGATCTCTTCCTTGCTGGGTCACCACTAGCGAGATCCCTCCGGGTCCACACGAAGGGCCTTTCTCCCATCATGCATCAGCATCCCTTTAATTTTGCTTGCCTTGCATCACATTTGCCCTTTCAATGTCCACTCTCCCTTTTTTGGGAGGTCCTTCTGGAGCTCTTTGCAACCCCTAAGTAGCCACCCTAACCAATTGCTGCCCTCAGCTAATGGTTGACCCACCGCTCACTCCGTGTTCCAGATCATTTATGAACAAGCAAAGGCCCTCAGCCCAGGAGCATTCCTGGACAGACCCGGCATTTCACATCCCTCTGTCAGAATTTACAGTGTATTCCAACTTTCTTCTTTCTGATCCATCGTAGGACCGCCATTGTTATTCCATAACTCCTAAGTTTGCTCCAGAGTTTTTGCTCCCAGGCCTTTTGGGAGTGCAGGCAAACAATGCCAATCCACATCCTTATTGACGCAGGCTGGGAAGCAGCAGTTGGGTCCCCATCCAAAGTACTTAATGGTGCTTGGACCAGCCTTGAAAATCAAGCTCAGCCACTCCTTGCCAACCAGCCGAGTAAAAGGGGTGGTTTGGAAGGCGGGAATGTGGCAGTGCAAACCTGATGGTCTCCTGGGCAAGTGGAGAGCATGACAGGCTCTCTCTCAGCCTGGGTGCAGCCTGGGACCTAAATCCTACCAGTTCTCATGGGCTGCCTTTCCCTTCCTTCCTCCAGGGGCCCGGACTTGCCTGGGGGAGCAGCTGGCGCGGATGGAGGTCTTCATCGTCCTGACCAGCCTCGTGCGGGCCTTCCAGTTCCAGCTGCCAGAAGGCGTGAAGGAGCTCGACTCAACAGCTGTGTCGGGGCTGACAAGACATCCTTGCCCTTTTAAAATCTGTGCTGTTCCACGCTGCAGCTCACCATAAAACACTCACTAGTGCTTGCCATGGATTCTCTGCAGCTGCAGATTCTTCGTCCATTACTTTTCACTTAATTTGATCTTCCTCCTAGTGAGGATTATTTCCCTCTGTCCTGGAAACTCTCCAGACCAGCAAAACTTGGAAGAGATCTGTGACAGCATTGGCTGCTGAATGTGACCTATGACCAGAGAAAGGATTCTTCCTCCTCATCTGCTGTTAATGCGCACATGCGCAGCACCGCCTCTTTCCTGGCCATGCATGCAATTGCCTGGAGGGGTTGCGCCCCCTTCCTTCCTAGGTGCAGCAGGACCTGGACAGATGCAAGTGCCCCCACTCCCCTGAAGGTGGCTCAGTTGCCAGGGGTGGGACAAGGGGCATCTTACCCTGCAGAGACCCAGGGGAGTGTGGGGAAGGTCAGGAGGGCAGAGGGAAGTAAGAGGAAAGCATGTGGAAGGAAGTAGACCAGCCTGCACAGAGGATGCACGAGCAATAGGAGAGTGTGAGAGAGAAGGTCCTGCAGAGGAGGCACAGATGGGGAGACGGGGCAGTGCAGGTAAGCCAGGGGGCAAAAGGAAGGAAAGGCACAGCTCCCGTCACTGTGGGAGTTTGCTAGCTGGTGTCTTGAGCCACTGGCATTGACTGAGAACTGAGCCTTATTGATTATCAGAGACTGAACAAGAACGGGGTGTAAAGGGCCTTTCCCAAGCACTCTGTTCACCTGGGTTTGCTCTACTTATCCTTCCTTGGGAAACCCTAGGAGTACATCAGTTTGACACTGAGGTTGTATAGGGTGGTGATGAAGCTGGGGAGCCAATGCAATGTGTTATTTTCTACCCATCTTTGTCTTTTCACCTGTTATTTCTATGGCTCCAGCACGTAGGAAGGTGGGTTTGGTCTTCACTAGCCGAGGAACGACAGTGATAGAACTGTGCCTTCCAAAGACGCGAGGTGGGCATTTCATTGACTACACCCTTTGGGAACATTTATTGTTTCAGTCCATGGTGCTGAAAAAACGGGGGTTCTTTTGCTAGCTCAAGTGAGGTGAGGGATCAGAGGTGTGGAATCCCTGAGCCTTCCATGGATAGGACTAGTGAGAGCAAGGGAATCCCTTTCTTATCTCTGATCTCTCCCTAGTTGCACTAACATGAGAAATCGGAGGCAAGACCACCATGCTCACAGATGCAAGGAGGTTCCTGGGCCACCAGAAATGGCTTGATGGGTCTTCTTTGGAAAATGGAGTGCTCTGCTTAGACCCTTTCCTTGAAGGATGATCAGCAAAGGGAGGCAGGGAGAGTCTATTCTTGATCCCTGGTGATAAAATGGAAAGGAATGCAGCTTTCCCTTCTCATCAGACCGGAATGTGGCATCATCCAATGAAGCCAACCATGGGAGGGCCATGTCCCTACATACAGCACTTAGTTAAGCTTCATAAGAGGATCAGGCGCATGTAAGGCCCTCCATGGCTGTCATTTGTGATAGCTTCATATTACTCCCATGGCGGGAAGGATGATGCTGGGAAATGCCACCAGAAGGGCTCCAGGGCCATCATGGCCTGATGGTGGATTTTCCATGGGCAACTGACTGGGCTTTGTGCCCTGCCCAATCTTCTTCTCTTGACTTGCTATTTCTCTCCTCGCCTTGCAGTTTCTCTGACCTCCTCCTGCTTTTCTCTCTCACAGGATTTCTCCTTCCCTCTCAGCCCCCAGCTTTGCTCTTTTTCTCTTCTTCCAGGCCCCTTCACAGGGCACCTTCCTGGGGTATTGGGAGCACGAGGTGGGGAATGACCTGGAGTCAAGATAGAAAAATACCTTTTCTTTCTTGTTGGAGCTGGAACATTTTCCTATCCTTCAGGCCTGGAGAAAAGTGTGGTGGACAGACTGAGATGAGCAGGTCTATCTATACAGATCTTCTCAGAAAAACCTCTCATTCAGTTCCATGTCAATGTGCATTTGGTCGCAACCTTAGATTAGTGCTTTGTTGCACTTCTGCAGGATCCAACGTACGAATCATCTTTGGAGGCTTCTGCCTGGTCATTTATGTGGATGATTTCTTGTGCTTCTGCTAGCCAGGTCCCCGGGCTCCCACATCCTCTGTGGGAGCCACTTTGTTCTGGTGGTGACAGCAGTTTCCCACATTTCCAGATGTATTTATTTATTATTTAATTTCTATACCACTCAACTCTGTGGGCAGTTCACAGCAGCTCATTTAAAAACAATATAAAATATACCAATTAAACCTACTAAAACATTGTAAAAGCTAGTCATGCAAATTTTAAAACCAAACCACAGGAAAACAAAGCTATATATTAAAAAGACCTTATGTGCCCAGAGACTAGGAATTCTCAGGGTAGGTCTTTGGTCAGACCTAACACTAAAGACAAGTGAGGAATCTACTTGGGGCTGGAGATCCACTGGATCCCCTCAGCTCAGCTCCCCAGACTCAGCCCACCTTCTCCCAGCCCTAAATCTGATGTAGTGCCAAGCACACCTGGGCACTGTGCAGGTGTCTGCCAGGTATCAGGCCACCTTGAACACTGGAGCCCCTCTTCTGAGCACGTGACCTGCGGTCATAAACTGCGCTTCTCCCTCCCAGCAGCATCAGCCTCACGGGCATTTCTTTGCTAAAAGCCTTCATTGTTGCATGCAAGTCTCTGGGCATATGCTAAGCGAAATGTTGACTGCTGTCTGGCATTCTTGACCTTATGCATCCTTATGCATCCTCCTGCACCTATCCCGGTGGGGGGGCGGGGGGGGGCACGCTGTGGGGCCGGACATGCCTGCGTTCCTCTCTCGGAGGTCCCAACTGGGTCATCCTATGACAGTGATGACGGACTATCAGGTCCATGTCCCCAGGAGGCAGGGGCTCCCCATCCAACAGACTCCCCATCTCTAAGTCTCCCCCCTGGAGATATTGCTGCTCTTCCCTGTTCCCATGGGTGGCTTGGCTGGGCCCCTCGGCTGCCCTTGGACTAGTCTCCTTCCTAGCAGGCAGAACTGGGTATGCAGCGCCTTGGGCTGCAGCTGGAGCTGGGTCCCTTTCAACAACCATCTCGTCGTCAGAGTCGGACCTGCCAGCCCTGCCCGAACAGGCAGCCTCCCCTGCACACTTCTCAGCCTCGGACTCCGAGCTGTCAGTCCCACCAAAACGGGCAGCCTCTCATGCGCACCCTCGCAATTTGCCAGAATGCCACTTGCTGGCTTTTTATATGAGGCACATGCAGTGGAGGAAGGCCGCCAGGTTTAGCAAGAGGAGCTCTGCAAGGGTTTTTGAGAATTCTCAGGCTTTATCCTGGCTCCACGCACCTCCTGTTTGTTAGACGGCTTTATTTTAAAATATTTTACGGTAAACCTGCTTGGAAGGACTTGCCCCAAAAGGCAAGGCAGGAATGAATAAAGATGCAGAAGCCAGTTGCCCTGGGCCACGCAAGAGGTCGTTCACCTCTTTGCCGAGTCCCTCTAGTCCGGCCTTCGCCAGGAAATGAGTTGTCCCTACAAGGCAGCGACGACTGTGTGTTCCCCCTTCCGCACACATTTATTTATTTATTTGAAGTTTTTTGTATGCCGTCCCGTTTGCATAAGCCTCGGGACGGCTTCCATACAATAAATAAACATAAAAATAGTATACATACAATCTAGATTCACCCTGGCTGTGGAATTAAAACCAATACATAATATTACAAGTTGTTAAAATATTGTTTAAATAAAAAGATCTTGGCCTGGCACCGAAAAACAAATAACGCCGACGCCAGGCGGACCTCTCTGGGGAGGGCATTCCATAAGTGGGGCGCCACCGCAGAAAAAGCCCTCCTCCGGGTACTCACTCTCCTAATATCTTTCACAGAAAGTTCCCGGAGGAGGGACTCTGCCGCCGATCTCAAGGGGTGGGAGGGCAAATACGGACGCAGGCATTCCTTTAGGTATCCAGGTCCCAAGCCATTAAGGGCTTTGTAGGTGATAACCAGCACCTTGAATTGAGCCCGGGCTTCGATGGGGAGACAGTGAAGCTGGTAGAGGACTGGGGTTATGTGAGAGTAATGCTCAGTCTCCATCAGCAACCTGGCTGCTCTGCTCTGCACCATCTGAAGTATCCAGACTGTCTTCAAGGGCAGCCCCACATAGAGCGCGTTACAGAAGTCCAACCGGGAAGTAACCAAAGACAGCTCTGGGTCGAGGAGCACTCCCAAGCTGCAGACCCTGTCCTTTAGAGGGAGTGCAACCCCATTCAGGACAAAGTCCAAGTCACCTACCCCAGAGCCCAAACCACCCACCAACAGGACCTCTGTCTTGTCTGGATTGAGCTTCAGTTTATTGGCCCTCATCCAGCCCATTACCTTGGCTAGGCACCGGTTCAGCACAGCCACTGCCTCACCTGGGTTAGTTGAAAAAGAGAGGTAGAGCTGGGTATCATCAGCGTACTGATGGTTCCGCAGCCCACACCTCCTGATGACCTCTCCCAGCGGTTTCATGTAGATGTTAAACAGCAAAGGGGACAAAATGGACCCCTGCGGTACTCCATGGCATAGCTGCCATGGCACAGAGCCAAAGTCCCCCGGCACCACCTTCTGGAATTGGCTGTCAAGGTAGGAGCGGAACCACTGCCAAGCAGTGCCTCCGACCCTCAATCCCACTAGCCTATCCAGAAGGACACCATAGTTGACGGTATCGAAAGCCACTGAGAGGTCCAGGAGAACCAACAGGGATGCACTCCCCCTGTCTTTCTCACTGCATAGGTCATACAGGGCTACCAAGGCAGATTCACTACCATACCCAGGTCTGAAGCCAGACTGAAATGGGTCCAGATAATCAGTTTCATCCAAGAGTGCTTGGAGTTGTCCCGCCACCACCCATTCCAACACCTTGCCCAGAAGCGGGAGGTTGGCCACTGGTCTATAATTGGCGGCCATCTCTGGATCCAGGGATGCCTTCTTTAGGACCGGCCAGACTACTGCCTCCTTTAGAGGGGCAGGCACCCAGCCGTCCCTCGGAGAGGCGTTGACAACCTCCAGG